ATGTAATTACTGCGAAACAATTCACAAAACATAGCTTAATATTCAAAATACATATTTTAGTGATTTTACATGACTCACATTTAATTTATTTTACATGAATTACTTTTAAGTAATATTAACTAACATTGTTATTATCCAGCCTAATAATAGATGGCGCCAACAACATCATTGCATAACAATTACAATACTTAATTAAATTATTAGTACTGTTAATTATAATATAAATTATTATTAATATTTATGCTTTATTCATATTTAATCATTTATACAGTTATTTGTGTTTTTAAACAATAATATAAACATTAAACATATTCTGAACATTTTCACATCAAAACAGTGTCTGCTAATTATTAAATATGGTAAAATAACAGTTTTGTTGCTAATAATAAATAAATATTAACATATATAATAAACTAAACTATATATTATGTTAATTATTGCCAACAGTGCGTTTGCGCCCATATGTACAACACAATAATCTCAAAGGAGAGTACTTCACGATAAATAACCTAAGAAATACAATACAACCAATAATTATATAAAGTTAAATGTTGCATGATAAGACTTATATTATTGTATTATATCCGATCCGATAGCTTAGAGAGACTATTCGTGACAGGGAAGATCGAGGGAAGGAGACCGCGCGGGCGCAGTCCGACAAGGTGGTTCGACATAATCCGCACCACACTAGGAATCCCATTCCTGGAAGCCCTTCATGCGGCCAATGATTTGGGGCGCTGGCAGGACATTACAAGAAGCAAAATCCTGTTGACATATGATGGTCACGACCCTCAGCAGTGAGGAAACGACGCGAGGAGGAGATCCGATCCGATATTAAATCCGTACATTAAATCGTTTTTAAAATAGTTCCTCAAACTCTAGTCCGTTAGGCCGATATCTCTCGCACTTCTAAGTTAACTTCCGGCGCTGCGTCCGTTCACAGGAAACGCTAACGGTCAGCCTACAAAACATAGATTATTTACACGACTACTGTTGTCAAGATTCCCTGAAAAGCCACTATTCAATTGGTAGCGTTTTTCCTTAGGTAAAGGTTTATTTTGACTGACAGCTGACTTAATAGATCCGTGGGTATCCACTATATAATATTACAAATAGTCTTTACATCTATCGATTTAACGATATCTGGATTTCTGAAGATGGACTTCTCGAAAAACTAGCTTACTTACCTTGCCCACTTGGACACGCTTTTATTGGCTTGACTTGTAATTTTTCTTTTATGAGTAATATTTAACTGCAGACAATGTCACCTTTATTACGTTTTTAAGCAGAGGAATGAGAATGGCTCACTTGATAGTAGTAGTAGGATACACTTAGTAGGTAGTAATAACCTCGTATGAAGGACATGCCCTAGTGCTTGGCAAATACTATGCAGAGGAGAAAACGCCGTGGAGGGACAACTATGACTTCGAATAACACCACCTAATATTTTCTCACGAATGTCTGCATATTTCCATCGTAAACCGGTATTTGTATTTGGCCGTACGTATTTTAATCCTGTATAAGAAGAAGTGAAAATCCTACTAATTTCTACTCGAAACCGTCAAGTGAAAGCCGAAAACTTTCGGTATTCTACTAATTTAGACTCAGACTTCATGTCTCAAAGTGGGTGGTGTCATTCACGTTGGGATAGCTATGGGCTCCAATAACAACTTAATATTAGGTGGGCCATAAAGACGTTTCACATATTTACTTAAATTCCTGTGAAATTAATTTTCCATCAACTACAGTTTTTGGTTTACTTCTTCTTAGTCGGTGTCGCTCTTGACCCAGTGGTCGTAATCATCACTTCAGGCGTTGGTGGTAAGCTTCACAACACGCTGCCTTTTTTTATTGCTTAAATGGGTGGATGAGCTCACAGCCCACCTGATTTTAAGTGGTTACTGGAGCCCATAGACGTCTACAACGTCAATGCGTCACCCACCTTGAAATATAAGTTCTAAGGTCTTAAGTATAGTTACAACGGCTGTCCCACTCTTCAAACCGAAACGCATTAAGGCTTCACGGAAGAAATAGGCAGGGTGGTGGTAACTACCCGTGCGGACTCACAAGAGGTCCAGTAATAACGCAAATTATAATTTGACGAGTTTAATTTTAATACACGATGTTATTCCTTCACCGTGGAAGTCAATCGTGAACATTTGTTGAGTACGTATCTCATTAGAAAAATTGGTATCCACCTGGGATTCGAACACCGGTGCATCGCTCAACACGAATGCACCGGACGTCTTATCCTTTAGGCGACGACGACCGACGGCCTCTTCTGTCTTTGGATTACTAGAGTAATCAATTATTTCAAAATTAGTACCCTTTTTATTGTCAAGTCGTCGCAAGTGATGTTGTTGTCTTGGGCCTTGTCTGCATTTCTATATCATACAATTATGGTCATTGAAGATATGCTAACTGATCGAAGGTTGTTAGCATCGCTCATGAGCATAAGTAAAGTTAGGGGCGCAGGTGACTCCTGGAGTCGCTCGACGAAGATCCCTGGGGGCGCCCATACAAGATGGTTCGCAGGAAACTGCAGCCGTGGGCGCTCCCGGTGACCGAGCGGCTCCAGCCTCGGCAGCTGCGGGAAATAGTTTCCGCGCTTTTCCCGCCAGCAGCGGGGGGAGACTTTGAGCCCCCCCAGATGGACGCCACGTGGGGCACGCCTCCGCGTCGCCCCAGNTAAGCAGAAAGCCGCCTCGTTTGTACTGTAATGGCTTACTAAGAGTTAACGACTGTAGTTAACAAGAGAAAAAGCCCAAAGAAAATCAAAACTAAAGCGAAATAGGACCACTATAAGAATTCCAGTTCGTTGAGATAATGAAAAAAGTTGGTCAAATGATCGCTCGCTTTCCGGCCGGACTTGAGATCGCGTAGTTACACAATACAGTCGTTGAAACTGCGCTGAAATTGTGAAGGAATATTTATTATAAGTAAACTCCAATATTAGTTACTACTGTATCAACAAAAGAAAACTAGTCTAGAAATTAATGTTATTTCGAAGCATCATATTTGTGATTAGGCTCAATCAGGTGGATGGAGTTACCTTCTGAGTAATAATAATATTTAAAATAATTGATTGTATTTTTCTTCTTTTCTAATTTCTAATTTGATATAAATTTTTGTATGAACCATGGTCACTCAATTAAGTAATAAATAAGTTCTTTAGAGCTATCGAAAGCTTTGCTTACGTGAAGTGTAATATTGTGTAGTCTTAGATCTAAAAAGTAAGTATAAAAAATCTCAGATATCACAATCGTAAAAAATAAAACTGCTTATATTTACGATAACTGTTTACTTCTATCGACCTTTTGTAGAAAGTAAAACAGATAACATTTAATTCCGATTTAAATAGGTTTAAGTGTTAAACAATTACAGAACAACGATTTTTAAATTAAATTCTCAATTCTATAATCATAAATAATAAAATTTAATAACAATAATAAAATAAATTCAAACGACCCTCCTCATGGTTTTTATTTCAAACTAGCTGATCCGGCAGACTTCGTAGTGCATTAATTGATAAATAAAAGACGTAATACTTTTGTATAAAATCAACTTAAAACTAACAAAAGGAATCCGTTTTTTTTTTTTTTTTTTTATGATTGAAGGATTACTGGTGGCCCGGAGGCCTTTCCAGTTTCACCAGGACAGGTGGGCGAGCAAAGGCTCAGCCAGGAGGGGTGGGATTTGCTAACAGCTACCCGAGCGCCTCCGAAGGAGACCTAACAGCTCAAGAGCAGCTGCTTCGCGAATGAATCTACTACCGGATCGGAATCGCGACCCGCTGAGAAGNAAAAATAAAATAAAAAAAAAAAAAAAAAAACAAAAAAAAACCCCCCAAAAATGTCCTCTGGGGGAAACGACAAAAAAAAAAAAAAAAAAAAAAAAAAAAAAAAAAAAAAAAAAAAAAAACTTCGTAGTGCCTCAATCGATAAATAAAAGATCTAAGCTTATGTATAAAATAAACTTAAAACAGACAAAAGGAATCCGTCCGACGGGGGACACATCAAAGGAAAAACAAAATTGTTTTTTTTATTTAATTCGTAGCATTTTCATATTTATCTACCTTTTAAACCTTCTCTGGACTTCCACAAATAATTCAAGACCAAAATTAGTCAAATCGGTCCAGCCGTTCTCGAGCTTTAGCGAGACTAACGAACAGCAATTCATTTTTATTTTTATTTGGTATTAGCATCAACAGTTCGATGTTTTTAATTATGCTTCAATTAAGTTTACTCCATTTAAATAGCTGATTTTTTGATTTATTTGTTATGATATTTTTTCCTGATTTTAAAACTTCTATGGCTCTTCTGTAAAGTTGCAATAATGTCGTTTAAACCAAATAAGTCTTTCACCCCGCGATATATTAAATAAAATAAATATATTCACATACATACAATTATATGGGTTTCTTCATGAAATTCATATTTTTCTTTTTGCCGTTACTTGACGTGAAACAGAAACGACACGTCTGCGTTAGTATTATTGAGCTCGCACAGGTCTTATTTATTTATTACATATTTATTTTTGTCTTTCTTATTTGTTATGACACAGACGTAAGTCGTCCTAAATTATTTAAAACGACGCAAATTATACAACGCCAATAATAAACGCGAAATTGAAACCCTAAAAGCGGTTTAAGTTATGTCCTAAGACTAGCGAAAACCAAAGAAAAGATTACATCGCATATACATACATACATATATATTTTTTTTAACAATCACGCCACGTTAACTGGTCCCGTGCTAAGTTCGTAAAGAACTTGTGTTACAAGTACCAAATAACGGAAATAAATATAATATTTTTATTATACACATACATATATTTAATATACACCCATAACCCTGGAAATACACTTATATTTATCATACAAATATCTTCCCTTGGCGGGATTCGAACCCGCGACCCCCTTGTGTAGTGACCATGTCACTTACCACTACACCAGACGGCCGTTTAAACATACATACATACATTGCGGGAATTGTGTTACAGAAAATAGACAATTTGGTGAACGGCTCCGGTGATCTCAATCACAATCACGAAGACGACATTAGCGCTGTTAAACATTCGGTGAGTTTTTTAATGACATATTACATTTCATGTATTATTTTGTATGGGGCGTGAGAGAACTCCAGGAAACTAAGGCAAATGTGTGAGGTTTGTACCTAGGAAGACTATAAACAACTCTGTTGAACGGGAACTTGCACGGTTAGATACCACCGCCCTGCCCATTTGTTCGTTCCAACTTAAACATTGAAACAGTCCATATAAACTGGTGGTAGGACCTCTAGTGAGTCCGTACGGGTAGGTACCACCACCCTGCCTATTTCAGACGTGAAGCAGTAATGCGTTTCGGTTTGAAAGGTGGGGCAGCCGTTGTAACTATACTTGAGATCTTACAACTTATATTTCAAGGTAGGTGGCGCATTTACGTCGTAGTTGTCTATAGGCTCCAGTAACCACTTAACACCAGGTGGGCTGTGAGCTCGTCCAACAATTTAAACAATTAAAAAAAAAACACAACTGGGACTTAGATATTGTGTATCAAGAGAATCTAGGCGCTCCGGTGAGAAGCACAACTAGTGAGAAGTAAGTTCGTTTTCCCAACTCGGAATTTAAAACTAGAAAATTTGCTATCATTCAATATAATGCACGCAATGGAAATATAAATAAGCAAAAACGAAGAAAAAAAAAGCTTGCGGTCAACGCACTTGTTGACGCAAGAAGGGGCTCCCATTGGCTCGTGAAGTTCACATTTAATGAGCTGTGTACAAATTCAGTTTCACTAAATTACTTAATACAAATAATTAATGTGTTCGATCGATGTTGAGATAAGAAGTTTGCAGTTTATACAGTCGCGTAATTTATTATATTAACTATCTTTTTTTTCCCTACCTATGCTGATAGCCTTGAGAGGCTATCTCGGCTTCACCCTAACGTGTGTAGGTGAGCTCACGGGACTCAAACCGGAGTGTTGCTAACACTGACCCTAGCAAGAGCAGTGCTTCGCAGAATCTACCACCGGATCGGAAACGCGACCCACTGAGAAGATCCGGCGAGAAACTCAGTGGACTGTGTCTATGGGGGTCTCTCTAAAGACACTACAAAACTTGCAGTTACAATGCTCAACTTCTTTTATTTAAATTCACAGCTTCCACACAGCAACGGCGAAATTGGTACAGACAAAGATGAACCGGACAAGGTGGAAAACAATAATGATTTACTAGAAAATGAAACGTTTCCGGAAATGTTGGCGCCCATACCCACGCCCCGGACACCGGAACCGATTCCCGAAACAAAGAAGACTACTGTTACTAAGTATGCTCCTAAATCGATTAAACCACAATTCTTGTTATGAAAAGCTTCAAAAATGTGTTTAAAAACCAATATCAATTTCACTAGATTACATTTTTAACAGATTTCAAAAAAGCAGGAGGCTCTCAGTTCGACTGTATGTTTTTTTTATGTTTGTTACCTGATAACTTTTAACTGGGTGAATCGATATTGATGCTTCTTTTTTTATTAGAAAGCTGACGCTTCCCGTGTGGTCCCATTTCAATTTAGTCCAGTTCTGATAATGGTATCCGTGAAAAAACTATATATAAGTCTTAAATTTGCATTAAGTACGTGCGCGACAAATAGATGAATAACTCAATATCACGCCAACCGATTTCGATGATTATTGTTTGTAGTGTATATTAATTTGATTTGGAATATCTTTTTTTTTTTCTATTTGAAGTCGGTTTTTGTTCAAGCATGTCTATTTACAATTATTATTTGAATAGATTTAGAATACGATTTGAAATATAACCGACTCGCAACCAACGAAACAAAACGCAGAAACGACATTTTTGGAATGATTTAAATACGATATTGAAAAGTAAATAAAGTAATTAAAATAATGGCAACTCGAAGCTGTTACACTCACGTGAATAAATAGGCTCAATATCCTTAACATTGTGACCACTGACAACGGCGATATATAAAAAACTACGTGAGGAAATCTTTTTTTTAGGAATTTGATATACCATGACTTTGGTACGAAGGGCATAGAAAATACGGTTGACCAAAAAAAAATTGTATATTTAATTGGCAAATACGAGTTTGATTGACTAGATGTTTAATCAAAACAGACGTAAATCAAAACTAACCCGTTGGGATGAGGTCACTGACCGCAGCGCTTTGTTTTTCTACAGTGGACTAAAAAAATTTAGACTGTTTCGCTTTTCAGAGTGGATACTTTTGTATGCTTTTAGGACTGCACCAGCCAAAACGAGCCCTGTAAAATCGAAATCACAGACACCCGTAACGGCTTCACCTCGTAGAATTACCAGTGATAGAAGCGTAAGTATTCATATGCTTCTGTATGCTATATTAGGTAAGTAATAAGGTTGAGAGATTTTGAGGGTTGAGATTACGAGAGTTCGTAGATCCGAAGACAATTATTAAAACACGATACCGTTAGAAGAACCGTGGTCGAAAAATATATGTATATATGAAACCATTTTTTTTTAAATACGATTCTTGAATCAGCTGAACGTTCGTCAGTCATTTTCACGTCATTTCGGATCCCTACGATCCACTAACGGTGCTTTTAGGTACCCCAAGCATTCTCGTCGAACCCGTCACTTGCGACGAAGGGCTCGGCGAGTAAATTAACCCACAGACACAGCCCACTGAGTTTCTCGCCGGATCTTCTCAGTGGGTCGCGTTTCCGATCCGGTGGTAGATTCTGCGAAGCACTGCTCTTGCTACAGTTCGTTATATCAACAACGTCAGGTTTGAGCCCCTCATCTACTAGGTGTGAGCTCACCTACTCGCCCGGTCACGCTGTTGTGGTCTCTCTAGACTAGACATCAGCTTAGGTAGGGAAAAAACCATATTTGTTTCACATTGTCCACGAAATCTTATACGCTAACTACGTATTTATAATCAGAACATATAGCAAATGAATATTGTTTTATATTTATGGGGGGAAACTCAACAAACTTCTCTCATAACCGTGCATCCGCCACGTGAACTATATTCATTAGGACTTACATCGGCAACTTATATTAGATGAAATTGTTAACATAAAAAAACACTGAAATGTTTATTTTTAAAATATGATGTATAAGTTAAACCTAAATAACCTTTTTAATTGACAAAGAGCTGGCCGACGTTCATAATTAAAAATAAAAGCAATTCGTCATTGACAATTGACAGTAAAAATGTAAAAACTTTCTTTTAGAACAAAGATTATGAATATAAAATTATTATTGAGTAAATTAAATATGTTGGACTTAGAAATATAGCGGTCATAGAATACTATGTTTAACTTAGGTATCGGAGACGAATAAGACACGGAGTGCTATGCAACGACCAGCCAACACAGTAAGTTTGCATCCAAAAATCTTAACATCCAATAGATCAATGTATTGCGTCAATTTAAAAAAATATCTTAACTTAAATGAAAAGCAATTATTTAAATTTTCAAGCTGTGAATGTCAAAAAATGCCATATTAAATTTGTACAATACAATATGGTATCGATGTAAAGATTTAAAAGTGCCTGTAAAGGCCTACTACTTGAATAGAAAATAATTTGAATTTGATTTAATTTTGTGTTACTGATATTATTTTTCATACGTAAAATAGTTCATTATTTTTGGCTCTTTCTTTGTAGTACTCTATTCTACTTGTTATATTTAACGTGTTGTGCTTTTATTTGTTATTTCACGCGACAAAATTTTCTGTACACTTGCACGATGCTTTTATGTTGTTTTTCTTTCCAGACACCCAGAAAACCACCTGTGGTACGCATGTTATGGTATTTCTTAAGCACCTAACCCAATAAATGCTCGCAATAGATCGCAATATTTTTGTAGTAACTCGACACATTAGCATATTCATGTGTAGTTTATTTATTTATTTTATTTATACTTTATTTCAGTTTTTTTTTAAATCATAAATTTTATTAGTAAGAATTACTTATAATCTATGTTACTAACTTAACTTAAAAATCTAACATATAACTATCAGACATACATTTTTTTTCCCTTCCAAATGCCTGCTGCAAAGGCTATTAATCAGCAGTCCCTTGATCTTGCTCGATATGATGTTCCACTATTGCCACTGTCACGAACTCTACGCAATAACGATGCACTTCTCTCCCGCATTATTGCAAAGAAGTCATCTGTGTGAGATGTCGCAAACATTGTGGATGCATTACAAAAGCGCACCAGTGACAACATCATCTTAAGCGGATCATTATATTGAACACGTAGGGCACTGTAAGCCCTCAGCGTAGTAAAATAGATAATACGCTAATAGTCTTCGCACTTAAATTGCTATTGCTACAAATCTAGTCAATCACGCCTAACAGAAGATGGTTCATAAACTTGCTACCTCTACTAATGGAAATAAATAATATATTTTAAGTTACTAACAGTTTTTCTTAGAATTCATACGTTGATTTGAAATTGTTTTGTTTGTGTGAAATTGTTTTGCGAAATCATCGTGACCTAAAAAATAAGACCTCCGGTGCATTCGTGCTAAGCGATGCACCGGTGTTCGAATCCCAGGCAGGCAGGCAGGTACCAATTTTTATAATGAAATACGAACTCAACAAATGTTCACGATTGACTTCCACGCTGAAGGAATTACATCGTGTATATAAAATCAAACCCGCAAAATGATAATTTGCGTACTTACTAGTGGTAGGACCTCTTGTGAGTCCGCACGGGTAGGTACCACCACCCTGCCTATTTCTGCCGTGAAGCAGTAATGCGTTTCGGTTTGAAGGGCGGGACAGCCGTTGTAACTATACTTGAGACCTTAGAAGTTATATCTCAAGGTGAGCGGCGCATTTACGTTATAGATGTCTATGAGCTCCGGTAACCACTTAACACCTAATCTACCTATCTAAGCAATAAAAAAAAGGAACTCTCTACCTCTACTAATGGAAATAAATAATATATTTAAAGTTACTAACAGTCTATTAGAATTCATACGTTGATTTGAAATGGTTTTGTTTAGATATTTGAGACGACAATGTATTGATTGATCTACAGAAGGCGAACAGCGCGGGTTCTGGTACTCCTAAGGGTCGGTCCGCAACGGCGACAGCTCCGAGCAGCGCGGCCGCGTCGGGTGACGCGTGCGGCGTCTGCGGTAGACATTTCGCCTCCGACCGCATCGCTAAGCACCAGGAGATCTGTAAAAAGGCCCACAGCAAGAAAAGGAAACCCTTTGATGTACTCAAACATCGTTTGGCTGTAAGTTTATAACGTTCAATTCATTCATCGAATATATTATAAATTAAAAAAAATAGAAGTCGTCGTGGCCTAACGGATAAGACGTACGGTGCATTCGTATTGAGCGATGCACCGGAGTTCGAATCTCAGGCGGGTACTAATTTTTCTAATGAAATACGTACTCAACAAATGTTCACGATTGATTTCCACGGTGAAGGAATAACATCGTGTAATAAAAATCAAACCAGCAAAATTATAATTTGCGTAATTACTGGTGGTAGGACCTCTTGTGAGTCCGCGCGGGTGGGTACCACCACCCTACCTATTTCTGCCGTGAAGCAGTAATGCGTTTCGGTTTGAAGGGTGGGGCAGCCGTTGTAACTTACTTGAGATCTTAGAACTTATATCTCAAGGTGGGTGGCGCATTTACGTTGTGGATGTCTATAGGCTCCAGTAACCACTTAACACCAGGTGGGCTGTGAGCTCGTCCACCCATCTAAGCAATAAAAAAAAGAAAAATAAAACTAGCGACCCGCCCTCGCTTTGCTTCGGAAACTGTAATTTATTATTGATTTCTCCACTATTTAATGGATGTTATTATACATATAAACCTTTCTCTTCAAGCACTCTATCTATTAAAAAAAACCGCATCAAAATCCGTTGCGTAGTAGTTTAAGCATACATGGGGACAGATATAGGGACAGAGAAAGCGACTTTGTTTTATACTATGTAGTGAAGAAGCTGTTTCAAATTAATTAATTAATTTATCAAACTTTTATATAAGGTATAACTGAATGTCACATTATCATACTGGGTTCATTTGAGAATGTACTCAGGGCTACTTACATATTATATTGTAAATAACTTAGAACAAAATAATTGTACTAATTTATATGCTTGATTTGATTAAATGTAAGCTTCTTTGGTTTAAGAAAGGGAAGGATTTTTTTGAAAATTAACAGCTTAATTTGAAATATTAATTACTAACAAAACCTTTTTTTCCTTAAAACTCAGGGTACCGAAGTTGAAAGTTATAAGGCAAGATAATTTATATTAAACAATCATGTGTGTAAAGAGGATGTGCATGTATTGTTACGTCGTCAAAATCCTATTTTTTTAGGTTTCATTTACGACTCATTCTATTATTAATATTCTAATTAATGGCGTTACACTTTTGTTACACAAATTTCTGTTAAACAGTTTTCGTATTTTACAAAATTTACACTTTTTTTTTTAAATCATTTAAATTATTAATCATTTTACTTTACATACTATTTTGGTTTGATTCGTGCTTGTATCACTTAGTTCTTTTTTTTTACAAAACTGACATAGTTTATCAAATTTTAGGGAACGGAAGCAGAACCCTTTATCAATAAATTGCGCAAAACCACCGCTACTCCGTCAACTACTAAAGTGAACAAAGGCAAGCAATTGAACAGCAACTGGCGACAAAAACACGAAGAGTTCATCCAGGCAATACGAGCGGCGAAACAAGTGCAGGCACATTTGAATGCTGGAGGTATATGATTTTGTACTTGGCTTGAAATACATTTGTTGGGAACCCAACAAAATTGGTATAAAACCTTTTTTATTGTTGTGGTTGTGGTTTCTGACATTACATTTGAATTTTGAATTATGGAATGTCAGAATTTTGTCAATTCTCTTTTCATCCGTGCTATTGTACGCGATTTATAAAATTTCTAAAATATACAAATTTTATACGTGCAATCCTCGCGAGTTTATTTATCAAGTTCCTTGCCCATCCTAATCATACAGTCCACTACAACATTAATTGCATTTCGCGAAGTAATAGGGAGCTGATTTATGAGCTTAGGCTGAATTTCGGGGACTAGCTAAATTTTTTTTACAATTCTGAATTTTTAGAAAGCATACACTTTTGAAGATAAATATCTCGCAGTGAGAACTAAGGACTTTGTCTCTGTCGCTGTCGTTCATATCGACGCTTGAAAGGCAAACAAACGTGCCTAAGCGACAATGCGTGAACTTTACAGTAGACTAATTTAAAGTTGAAATACCTGAAAAAAATTCTATTTTAACGAATCTAGCTGTAGGATTGAAATGATTTTAATAGACCTAGAAATATATATTTTTTGCGCATCGAATATGGTTATTGCCTATCGTTTATGTACAAATATGTGTTCGTCTATCAAAAGTAACTAAATAAACGACTATAAAAGATGCGGTACAATAATATCTATTATTTTCAGGTAAGCTGAGCGATCTGCCGCCCCCTCCGCCGTCGGAGAATCCGGACTACGTGCAGTGTCCTCATTGCAATCGCAGGTTTAACCAGGGCGCTGCCGAGCGACACATTCCGAAGTGCGCAAACTTTCAGTTCAACAAACCGAAGCCGGCTGCTATGCGACGATAACCACGAAATCCTACAGCGCAATATATCAATATCATTTGCGGAGACTTGTTTAGATTTTTTTCCGAAACAGCGATCACTGGCTACACAGCATTTTCTTCATACGGTGATTGCATTAAACAGTATCATACCTTACTGTCTTTGACGTAAAGTAAATCTTTTTAAATCGTAATATTTGTTAAATCAACTTGTGATTAGGGAGTCTTAACATCAATATATAATCCCTGCTGATAATCTTGCAACGTAACTTTGGCTAAATAGAAATTTGATCTTTATTTTTCCATTGAATAGTTTTGAGTAGTTCCTAAAGCTGAGATCTCTGAAATGTCGGACCCGTTTGCGTGTAAGGAGTATTATACATCGAATCGAATTATTGACTGTCTGATTCAGATATTGTTCACGTACACGCTTTTCTACTTAGTTAAAATATTTTACGATATTATATCAACGAATTTACCTAATAGTAACAACTAACTAATCGCTAAGTAACCGACCCGATTACTGATTAAAGAATCGTGTCAGAAATGGACGATGCAATCGAATTAGTGAAATTTGAAAGGAATTGTCGTTTGAAACCTAAAGGCGTATTCACGTTGAGCGATTTTTTGTTGCGCGTCTGTTTGGCGACGGTCTTGTATTACACGGTTTGGATAATCATAGCACACGTCCATGATTATACATGCTATTTCCGTCGCCAAAGCAATACGAATATTCCTTTGAGAAGGCGTTAAGTTCGTTTGTATTTAAATATTCGACTTCTATTTTTTTTACATTTATTTGTTATTGTTGTATGTTTCGAAAACAATTTATTTTCTAATGACGCAACGAGCAGCGTATTTGTAGTTTTAAAACTCCATAAGTGATATAACAAATTAAATTTGAATTACGTTGGAAATACAATATATTTCACATTCAATAATAGTTGCTTTATAAACATGTTAACGACTTTCATACGCAAATGTTTAATATCTATTAATAAAATATAGTAAAGATAGATTCGAGGTTTTTTATTTATTTCATAGACTTACTCGATGTTTTGTTCCTTATTGTAACTCAATAAAGTCCATCTTGCATGCTTACTTGTCTCTCTGTCAATTTAACAGAAGACACTTACTTGCGATATTATGACACACTAGCGATCCGCCCTCGCTTCGCTTCGGAAACATTAAATTTTATTATTGATAGGCGAGTCCCGCCATGTTGCGCGCGGAATGACAATAACTGCGGGTGACGCCGCGGGGCGAAGCTAGTCTAAAAAAAGTAGCCTAAGTTATAGTAACCGGCAAACTTCTTGAGCAAATGACCTTGACTGCGCAGAACCAAATTTTAGATCATTTTGGCGGTGAGGGTGAGGCGCGACGGCAAGGGAAATCGTATCGAACTCGTTATTGGTAGATCAGTCGAACCTTGCGTCCCGCACCGCGCCCTCGTTCCGCTTGCTCCCAAAAGTACGCTTGCGTACAGTAAAAAGTCTATCGTTATTAATCGTTAAGTTATTTGTTATAATAGCTTGTTGACTTTGTTGCCATTGCTATATGTTGAGTGTTTGTTGATTTTTTATAAAAAAATACACTATGCCGCGACAAACTGGTGTAGTATTCAAAAGAAAGGGTAGAAAAATTGTGTACGACGTATATTTCTTCATTATTAAACAGGGGAAGAATGATATGGAAAAAGTAAAATAGACTTCGGAAGCAAGAAAAACATCAGTGAGTACTGTTAGGTGCATTAATAACGAAGCTAAAGGCTCTGGCTTGCTCGCCGTGTTTCGGACTCCGGGTAAGAAAAGATCAGAGAAGAAGAAAGTTACCGGAATGGATAGTTTCGTTCAATCTGTAATAAAAAGATGTAATCATAAAAACTACATAACAAGCAGCGAAACTCCGTACCGTAGGAAGGCTTCGAAAATTTTAAAGAAGATATAAATTTTAATGGCTCGGAATGAAGCTTACGACGAATTATGAAAGAGCTAGGCTTCAGATGAAAAAAAAACAGAAAGTAATCGGAAGCTGGTAATTGAAAAAAGTAACGAATCGAATATCTTCAAAAAATAATTAATTATAGACAAAAAAGAAGACCGAACCGACCGAGTTGTAAACTACACCGATGAGCCCTATGTCGACTCATCACGATGATAGCGACTCGGGTGATGAAAACAGTGATGATGATGATGATGGTCAAGATTATGATAACGAAAAAAAAATTACAAATACTAGCTTCGCTTCAACTGAACCAAGACCTGGCAACAGCTCTAGTTTTGACTTAATAGAAGGAAAATCTATTTTACTAACCTATATTTTTTGTTGATGTTCTAATAAATATATAAATAAATACATAATATGTTGATTTTAATAATTTAATAGCATTATTATGACGCAGAGTAAATAATGTTTTTGCACGTGAGTGTACCATGCGCGAACTTACCCCCACTACGTCGACAAATGCTCAAGAAGTTTGCCGGCTATTATACTCCTTATATCATCAGCTACCTATTAGTGAAAGTCTCATCAAAATCGGTCCCACCGTTCCAGAGATTAGCCGGAACAAACAGACAGACAGACAGACAAAAATGTTATTTTGGTGTATGTACTGTATATATATTCATATGCATGTAGTAAAATGCGGTTATTTCAATACTACAAACATACACTCCAATTTTATTCATATGTATAGATTTCATCGCCTTAAAAAGCAAGTAAATAGTTTGGGAAATGCCAGTTCGACCAGTCACTGTATTGTGAAAGAACCATTTCCTAAAACTGTAATGACTCAGTGGCCACTATAGACTTAACACTTAACAATTAGACAAATATGACGTCACGCCTATGTCGTTGGTATTTTAAATTGTTCGAATTAATAGGTTTTATTTGGTCATTTAAAATTAATTTATTATTCATTTACTAAGGCGCCGGAATATCCAGCAGACTAGGAAAGACGAATCCGAAAATACTGAGAATGAATTTATTTCTAAAATACTTAAAAAATTAAAACGTACATTAACAAACAAAAGAAGGCCAAGTTGGGCAATCCAGGGGCCTTAGTAACAGAAATAGACATAATTAATTCAGTGCGCCGCGTTGAGCACCGGTGACCTACATGGCAGTCATAGGGTTAATATCGTCACGAGATGGTTCTCTATGACGCGGCCGTAACAATGTTACACAAAATTACTTGTTGCATGATAGTTTTCATTTAATTAAACAACGGTTACATATACTTTTGATATTGTTTAGTCATTAATGGATGGTTGCTTATCTAAGACTTTCATAAGTGGATGAAGGTGTATTTTCAGGCTGTACATAGTGAAGCAGTAATGAGTTTCGGTTTGCAGGGTGGGGCAGCCGTTGTAACTATACTGAGACCTTAGAACTTATATCTCAAGGTGGGTGGCGCATTTACGTTATAGATGTCTATGGGCACCAGTAACCACTTAACACCAGGTGGGCTGTGAGCTCGTACACCCATCTAAGCAATAAACAAAAGCCTTCCATTGAAACTCGTGCGCTTAATCGAAGTAGACTTTGTTCTCGTCTGCCAATTCACGTTAACAAAAACCCATTTGGATATTCTGATCTCAACCCACGGAACTCAAAATGAATCGACCACAATAGACAAAAATAAAAAACAGTTTTATGCTTCAACTTTTACTTTCGTAAACAACTTTATATGTGATAACGATTAAATATTGTATAAAAGCAAAATCATTGTAAAATGCAAACGAATTGTTTTACGCTGACGATTTATTCGTCTTTTTCACGCTTCTCATGTTTTATGGGCACATAAGACACAACCACTGTGGACTTAGCAGGGACCAACACGTCCTCTGCCGGCTGATAGTTCTTCGTATAGCTGAAAAATAAATAAAAAAACAAATTAGTTAACTCCACACCCGTCAAATACTGAAACTAATCTAATATCTATGAACTCGGTTAACCACTTCACACCAGAGTAATCTACTACAGACTAGTTTGTTATGCAAACGCATTAGTACCTAATCTCGTAATGACGTCATGGTTTCATTAATTAATTATCTGTGTGGACGAGTTAATAACTCCTTTGGTGACTTTTTGGCGGGAACGCGAGGAGTGAAGTTGTCTGATTTGTTTCATCTAGTGTTTTTTCAGGATTAAATGTGTAATAGCGGTGGTTTATTAACTGTTTAATATCTGTGAAAGTGCACAAATGTGGGAAAATGAAACAAAGCCGCTGGACGTAACTTCTCGGGATCCTCCAAAAAGTCCACTGAAAAAATCTCAGTAAATGACCACCATTTTACTGAGATTATATTTCATCCCATATCATCTCATTTCATTTAATTTCATCCCAGTTGATTAATGTCTCAGATTAATCATCTTCATTTCACTCCATATTATCATTTTTCATAAAAATAAGAATATAAATTAAAATAAGACATTACTTAAAGGTCTTAGTTACCAGGTCATAAAATCCCTTAAAAAAACTCCTTTGGTATACTTTTTGGAAAATACAACACCTGCCTAGCCCATGTTCATGAAGGATTTTACGACATATTTATTTATACGAGTACCTATTTGGAGTTGGTACAGTTAAATACTAACTGCTACCTATTTCTGGCCCGAAGAAGTGGCGTGTTTCAAATCAAAGGTTCACTTACTTGGTGACAAGTTTGACGGCTGGCGAGACGTTTTGAATTGTAATCGTCCCGGGCACGGAGGGTACAGCAGTGAGATTCGCGTGGAGATCCTGCCGGGACGGGTTGTACACCGCCATGTAACCGGTGTGACCCTCTTTCCATCTGAATACAAAAAAATAACACATAGTATAATACTTTAGTAGCCGCCATCCCTTTAAAACTGTTAAGATCATAGACATAGATTTTCAATTTGTCCAAACCTTAAAATCTACATTAAAGTTCAGGCAGTAATCGATGCCTACTCCGGCTTAAGTTACAGAACTAGATACTCCAGAAATGCAGTTTTTGTAGTATACATATAGTGAACAAATTTGTAAACCAAGATATGAGGAACATGTGAGCTTAGTGAGAGTTTTTTAACGTTCGCGATAGCGTAAAAGTTAACTCTAATTTGTATGTAATTCGAACGTTTGCCTGCGTTTGCCGCTAGGGGCGCTGTTCCGACTACATACAAATTTGAGTTAACTTTTACGCTATCGAGAACGTTAAAAAACTCGACGAAGCGCAGTGAGACTAGACGAAAAAACTGGTTTAAGGTCGTCTCTGAGACATGCATTCGCATCCTTATGTCTACTGGATAAGGTAATAATTACCTTGCACAAACGATGAGTCCGTTCTCGCTGGCGTTACGCGCGGGCGCGGCCGCCACGTGGTGCTCGCCGTGCGACAGCGACGCGTCGCTGCGGAGGTTCACCAGATCTAAAAGAGACTGTAACACGCACACAACACATTTTTAAGAAAATTACTGTAATTAATTCTCTGGTCGGTTAAAAGCAAACAAGCCAACAGTTCTCATGCAACCTTTTAATTATAGCATTTTGTTTTATTTATCACTTAGATGGGTGGACGAGCTCACAGCCAACCTGGTGTCAAGTGGTTACTGGAGCCCATAGACATCTTCAACGCAAATGCGCCACCCACCTTGAGATATAAGTTCTAAGGTCTCAAGTATAGTTACAACGGCTGCTCCACCCTTCAAACCGAAACGCATAGTAATAATGCGTTCTGCCTATTTCAGAAATAGGCAGGGTGGTGGTACCTACCCGCGCCGACTCACAAGAGGTCCTACCACCAGTCTAAAACTAAATTATTTATATAATTGTAATTCCTTGTAGAGCATTACTGCGTTACTCGATAGAACTCAGGCGGTAGTTCTGTATCTTGATGCATACAACGAAGCGTTCCGGTGTCTCCTCAGTAAGATGAGGCCAGTGCGGTATTGGAAAAATCCTTATCGAAGACAAGTCGACACGCAGGCTCGTTCCGAACGTGTAGCGAAAGTTAAATAGTTCTTTTTGTTAGTCCGAGATTTGGTCCAACTCGTTCTCCATTCCACGTCGCAGTGTCCTCCTCCCGGATGCCGCATTAGAATCATCAGGTCTTTCTTTATTACAAACTTAAAATTAAATGCATCTTTCACAAATCAGTTTCCGTCGTGTGATCTATTTGCAACTATACTATTTATTTAAGCACAGTTAAATTAATAAACTCACGGTGTCGTTTTCGTCAGCTGAAAGTTGTTTTATATTCAACAAAGGTGCTGCCGGTAGAAGCATAGCAAACGATGCTAATTCACGATCGTCATTCGTATCCGTCAACTAAAATTACACCATTAAAAATGTACTAAATTAGTAAATCCGTTTCCGGCCAACAGACCGCCCAATGTACTTACTTGTTTTTTCAAGTAAACGAATTCGATATTCAAAATGCCCGTTTTTTTTTTGTATGTACTTAGTGTCAATGTCAATCGAATAATATATAAATATATAAACATTTAAGTGCAATGAGCATAAAGGTGTGATTTAGAAAAACTCAATTATAAAAAATAAAAAAACATATCAGAAAATTGAAATTCACAGGCAAAAAAAAAAAATTTAAAACTAAATTAAACTTTACTAATCTAAGGGCAAATAATCAAACTGAACAATAAAATCAACAAAATAAAAGGCGACTTAGTCTTACCTGAAGAATAGGCCAAGAGCCAAGAGTTTTGTTTATTCTAGAGGCGAGCGCGTCTGCGTCCTCCGTGACGGGCACGGGCGCGGCGGACGGCGGCCGCAGCATCGACACGTTGTGGTTCAGCAGTATCAGGTCCGGCAGGGAGCCATCTTCCTTCAGCGTGAACACCGTCGGCTCTGTTCAAAGTCATCGAACGACTTAAGCAAATCATTTTTAAGTAGGTAGTCGTGGCCTAAAGGATAAGACGTCCGGTGCCTTGGTATCTAGCGATGCACCAGTATTCGAATCCCGCAGGCAAGTACCAATTTTTGTAATGAAATACGTACTTGATAAATGTTCACGATTGACTTCCACGGTGAAGGAACAACATCGTGTAATAAAAATCAAACCCGCAAAATTATAATTTGCGTAATTACTGGTGGTGCGGACTCACCGCACGGGTAGGTACCACCACCCTGCCTGTTTCTGCCGTGAAGCAGTAATGCGTTTCGATTTGAAAGATGAGGCAGCCGTTGTAACTATACTTGAGATCTTAGAACTTATATCTCAAGGTGAGTGGCGCATTTACGTTTTAGATGTCTATGGGCTCCAGTGACCATAACACCAGGTGGGCTGTGAGATCGTCCACCCATCAAAGTAATAAAAAAAAACCTTTTTCAGGCAACATTTAACTGTCGTCACAAGACATGAAAGCAAGCTCGGGGCCGGCAGTAATGACGTCACATACCTGATTCTTTGGTGACGATCTTCGACCAGCGAGCCAAGAGCTCCTTGAGCTTCGGCAGGTCGGTGGTGTGCTTGTGCTCCCAGAAGTCGTACCGCATGTGATCCGCGTCCACGCTACTGCCGCGACCGACGCGCGTCTTCTCCTCAAGCAATTCGACGAGCAAGTGACGCGCGTTATTCAATCTGTTTTTGGGAACAAACGTTTTAGTTACGACTTTTTGGAGCTCGGAGGTCATAGATATCTACAACGTAAACGCGCCACCCACCTTGAGATATAAGTTCTAAGGTCTCAAGTATAGTTACAACGGCTGTCGTACCTTTCGAACCGAAACGCATTACTGCTTCACGGCAGAAATAGGCAGGGCGGTGGTACCTACCCGTGCGGACTCACAAGAGGTTCTAACCACCAGTAATAAATTAGAATTGAAGATATGAGCCCGCATAGGTTCGTATCACCATTCTGCTAGAGTCTAACGCGAGGCAGCTATATCTTACGGTTTGAAATACGGCCCTTGTAGGCATACGAGCAAATGGCCCGCTTGATAGTGAGTGGTTACCATTGTCCATGGGCTTCAGCAATGCCAGGGGCAGAGCCAAACCGCTGCCTACCGCTTAATACTCTCCACAAGCCTCGTTTGAAGAAGGACACGTCATAGCGCTCGGGAAACACCGTGGAGGGGAGCTCATTCCAAAGCCGGATGGTACGTGGCAAAAAAGACCGCTGGAAACGCACTGTGGATAACCGCAGTGGCTCCAGGTAGTATGGATGAGCTCTAATCCGGTGGCGGGCGGTGCGATGGTAAAGACGAGATGATGATATCACCTCAAACAATTCCTCAGAGCTCTACCCATGGAACATGCGGTACAAAATGCAGAAAGAAGCGAAGTCCCTCCGCAGACCCAGAGGTTCCAAACGATCCGTGACAATGGGATTATCGACAATCCGAACGGCTCTCTTCTGTATGGAGTCAAATGGAAGAAGCTGGTATTTGGGAGCCCCGGCCCAGAGATGGGAGCAGTACTCCACGCGTACTGTGTTGCGATCTTCGGTAACACCCAGTCGTCCACCAATAAAACATTATAACGGACATCACTAATGCTCAATAACATCACTAAAAACTCATTATTTATAAAAAATTAATAGAATGTGAGTTACAAAAAACGAATTACCTGACTCCACTAGCGCCGGCACCCATCCAGGCCTTCAGGACCATGTCGAACTTCTCAACAACTTTAGGATTATCGAAATTAAGATCAGCGCAGTTGTCACAGAACTGATGCAGGTAGAACATCTGACGTTTATCACTTCGTGTAAACGCTGGCGTGTTGATTTTTGAAACCTAAATATTAGAAAATGTCCTTAGAAAAATATGACATGTTTAATTACTATCCAAATGTACAAAATATACATAAGTGCGTTTGAAACACTTTTTTATTCTTATTAGTAAGATGGGTAGACGAACTGACGGTCCACCTGATGTTAAGTGGTAACCGGAGCCCATAGAGATTTATAACGTAAATGCCGTCACCCACCTTGAGACATGATTTCTAAGGTATCAGTTTTAACAGTACAACGGATGCCTCACCCTTCAAACCGAAACGCATCCTTCTTCACTACAGAAATAGGCAGGGTGGTGGTATTCCTCCACAAGACGTCCTAACAGTTTGTTTGACAGTATTGTTTGAATTTATAAAGAATTCGTTAACAAAGGTCACCCACCATCCTGCTTATCTTTGCCATGAAGCAGTGGTGCTTTCAGGTTTGAAGACTGGGGCAGTCGACGTTAATCATTAAAGAATACAATTCAGAACTTATATCTCTAGGTGGGTAAAGGCATTTAGGAGGTAATTATTTCTGGTAAATATTTAGCACCAAATCGACCCGGAGGACTCTTTAATTCAATTGAAACAATAACTTCATTAATTGTGGATTACATGCAAAAACACCATTCTACATTACGAGGAGTTCCCACTACCCCAGTGGGAGGATGCATCTTCAAGGGATTGTTCAGTTAGACCATAGAGATCACAGCATAAATGCCTTCAGCCACATTGAGATGATTTTCTCTATTCCTCTCTCACTAGTTATGTGTGTAGACAAAACAAACCTATCTGACAACGGCAGACGGTGACCATGATTTAATAGAAAAAACAACTCACCCAATTAGCAGGTTGTTCCTTGGTCCAGATGAAATAATCAGTGTAGGGCTCAGTGCTGTTCTCACTCTGTACGAACCAGGTATGGTTGGTGAACACGTAGTTCGGGATCAAATCAACAATCACTCTGTTGACAAAACATGACAGGCATTAGGATAACGTTATGATTTCTATCAAGATCTTCTTTTATTGCTGGTGGTAGGACCTCTTGTGAGTCCGCGCGGGTAGGTACCACCACGCCGCCTATTTCTGCCGTGAAGCAGTAATGCGTTTCGGTTTGAAGGGTGGGACAGCCGTTGTAACTATATTTGAGACCTTAGAACTTATATCTCAAGGTGGGTGGCGCATTTACGACGTAGATGTCTATGGGCTCCAGTAACCACTTAACACCAGGTGGGCTGTGAGCTCGTCCACCCATATAAGCTATTAAAAAAAATCACAGCATGTGGTATAACACCAATATTTTCTGAACTGTTTTCCTATCTAATTCAATAGTAGCTTAAGTGGCTATTCAAGCAGCTTTCAGAGCGTTAGGTGAGCGTACGGGATCAACCTAAGAGAATTGTTAGAACTAGCCCTAACAAGAGCAGTGCTTCGTTGAATCTACCACCAAATCGAAATCGAGACCCACTGAAAATATCCGGCAAATAACTCATTGGTCTGTGTCTATGGTTTAACCTAACAGTTACAATAATGCAGCTCTGTAAACCATGAAAACTATTATGTCTTTTTGGTGCACTGAGATCACAATGACTCAATTTAGCCCGCGTACCTTTATTACCGAGGTTGATAATTAATTACCTTATTCCGATCTTCTTAATTTTGTTGAACAGAATTTTGAATTCGTCCAGTGTGTCACGTTTGTCGAGCACTTCGTAAGTCGGCACTTGGACGAACACGCCCTGAACTTTGAATGTCTTCAGCAGTTCCAAATCCTGTTGTAAATCTTGTGGTTCGACGGCATCGACCAACTCCAGTCCGACCAGGGGACCGAGTTCGTACCTGTATTGAATGAATGAATTTGACAGTTAACGGAATTTTTCAATAACATATAATATATATCGACACTTGAAAGGCAAACGTGACTAAGCGATAATGCGTGAACTTTACAGTAGACTAATTTAAAGTTGAAATATGTACCTGAAAAAAAATCTATTTTAACGAATCTAGCCTGTAGGATTGAAATTATTTTAATAGACATAAAAATATTTTTTTTTGCGCATCGCACATGGTTATTGCCTATCATTTATGTACAAAGCAGTTATTGTCGCTTAGTCACGTTTGACTTTCAAGCGTCGATATGTATACAAATTCAAAAATTAACACTATGTCAATACAATAGATGACAATTAAAATTCAAAAAAATATGTATCTTAAAAATCTTCATGTGAATTAGTTTATTTGGTGCAGTTTGGTTTACTTAAGCGGCCAGTAAGTAACACAACCAAATCGCGAGACATTGCAATTCTGGTTCTACATAAAAGTACATTAAAGTTCAAATTTCCGCTAATTTAAGTGAGAAATTTACTGCATACAGCGAAAGGTCGAGTAACCAATGGCCGTAGACAAATCGTTTAACGTAACATTGAATCTATAAACATTCTAGAGTTGACGTATAAAGTTAATTACTGACCATGTCCTGGGTTCGGGCGGGCCGCACTTGGGTGCGCGTACAATGACTGCAATAGCCCCGGCGAGCATGCACAGCCAGGCCACCCAGAACAACACGAACAGCGACCAACGCAAGTTCACCCAGAAAGGATCGTCAGCATACTTCAGTACCTCCTCTCTCGTCATCCCAGTGAATTGCTACGAAAATTGCATTAATAAATAACTACTATAAATGAAGGAAGAACGTTATGAGCCATGCGAAAAAAATCAATGGCATATTTTGGAGGCTTATGCTTCGACCACATCATTTTAAAATATATTTTTTTGTGATCGAGGGATTACTGGTAGCCCGGAGGCCTTTCCAGTTTCACCAGGGCATGTGGGCGAGCAAAGGCTCAGCCAAGAGAACTGACAACTCAAGAGCAGCTGCTTCACGAGTAGATTCACTACCGAATCAGTATCGCGAACTGCTGAGAAGATTCGGCGAGAAACTCAGCGGGCTGATGTTTAAGTTAAGTTTCACGTCGGACTCTTGGCCGAGTTCGACGACTACGGTTACCGGAGTCTCTAATCCTGCTCCTAGTGTTAGAGCTAAAGTGTTTAATGCAAGGGTTATTGAATCTGATGCGATCCGTAAGGACGTGTCTAGGGCGTCGACGGTGACTGGCCCCTGCGTGATCAGGATTCGGTAGATTCAAGTACGAAAAGATGAGTGATCCGGTTTAATGCTTTTTACGAGCCACTTAAAGTCCAAGAGTGGCGTCCACATTTTCCGTGAGGCTTCACTGAGAACACGTATATAATGACGATAATTTTCTTATCCTTGGCCACAGATTTCATCATCTTTTTTATTGCAGTAACTGGCGAATCCACCGCTGAATGTGCATATTTCAAGAAAACGGGCCCTATCGCTGGATCACTGTGATTTATTTAAATCGGCCGCATTTGTGCAAATTTAGAAATTATGAACGCACTTTCCTTGAAGGCCCAGGTTCTGATGCCAAAGCTAAAATCTTAATAAATCAATGAAAATTGTACGATATTTATTATTATTTTTAAACACGACATCCATTTCCATGTTGTCATCTGTCATTTAGTGAATTGTATTTTTTTTAAATTTGATTAATATATTACGCATAGGAAGTAAGAATGCGTCAAGACGATGTGAGATCGTACTATTTTATCTATAGAGCCGAAATATATCTAAAACTAATTCTATTTAAGACTTAATACTTATAGAGCAGACATATAGTATTCTTGGTAAATGACGACTAAAAGCTGTTTTGAAGTAAGAAACGACATCGGATTCCAATAAAATAAGCACGATATATTAAACTATAAATCTTTTTTCAAATCTATTTGCACGTGGATCAAATTTGATTGTCCGCACGCAGCTATCGATTAAAGCATTCGGCATTCAGAGTCTAAGAGTACTTGAAGTGGTTTAAGATCAAAATTTTTTTTTCTTTCCATTGTAGGCAAACGGCCCTCCTGAATGGTTGCCGTCACTCATGGCGGTCAGCAATGCCAAGGGCAGAGTCAAGCCGCTGCCTACCACCAAACACTTTACATTTTCCGCTAATCTTTGAAGAAGGAGTTGTTAAGTGTGTGTTTTTTGCTTCTATATATATTTGAAATATAATTTAATTAAGGTCATAATCCTATTATTAACCGTCTACATAATGGTGTAATTAAATTCAAGTACCCGTTTATTAGCATCGAGTTCAATCTTCGCGTCACCATTCCTGTGGTCCCCGACGACATATTTCGCATCGGACATGTCCACACGGGTTATGATTTTGGCCTCGTCTTCCTTCTTCAATAGTTTCTCCTCGGCGCCGTCGGCAGATATCTTCTCCTTCGATTTGCCGAGGTTCGTTTTGGACGACCGGAATTCTGCAATAAAAGCACGTGCTCTATCTATTAATATCGCTTCGATTTATTCTGGAATACTTTAGTTTTTTTAATATATAGCGTTATGAGAACAGTTATATGAACAAGAAAGTTCATGCGATCAATAATCAGAAAGAGACGTAAAACTACGAACACTCCTGATTAGAGGAGCAGCATCTCCTAGTTTTACAATCTCAATGACAATGCAGCTTTGAATATCAAAGGAAGCATTGTATTTCTCTTTCAAGAAAATTGCGTCAGTCATCCATTAGCGCAGTAAATCCTTTGAATTTCGAATGGATTATACATATTTTATTATTACAGCTTGTAATTGATTGAGATCAGAAAGCGGCTGAAAATATTCAACGATACATACCAGAAATCAACTAGTAAACGACTAATAATACTAAACGAGATTCACGCAATGTTATTTTCGGCCGAGAGCAAAGAGACGACTGAAAGCGTTCGCCGAAAAGCTTACATGTATATATACTCCTATATCTACAGGGGCGTTACGCAAAAACCACAAGTAATAACCCGTTTCGTTCCCCAAAACTCGACAGGGGATCCATCAAACCCGTTTTAGTTTTGTCAGTTAATTTTTGAGGTACAAGAACGGGAATTCCTTTTAAAGTTTCTTGGAAGAAATTCTTCATCGAACAGCTCCTGTGTTGCTTTTATTTCTCGTCAAGTGCCGTCGTTGTCATGGGGTATATATGGTAAGTTAATAGCTACGAGGTGCGTTCTTTTTTTCGCACCTATTCGCTGGTAGCCTAAGTGGCTATTCCAGCCAATTGCGGTCGGTTTGCAAACCTCAGGGTTGCAACCAGAGAGAATTTGCCAACTGTAGAGCAGTGGTTTGCAGAATCTACCACCAGATCAGAATCGCGATCCACTGAGAAGATCCGGCAAGAAACTCAGTGGGTTGTTTTTCCATAGACCTTAATGTGATTTAAATATTTACGTTTAGCAATCTCATAATGTTCAAGATCGGATGCTTAGACTGAACAGCAATCGCCAAAATCGAATAATTAAGAATGTAATAATAAATTTCAAAAATCATACGTACATAAAACTTGTAACTTTAAATTTACTCTATACTTTTTAGTGTCGTTTTCGGTGACAATTCTGATTCATTCGATACTATGTTCACTTTGCCCGCCATTACGGTCATTCTCCTTCAAGCGGACTGATGGGTTAATAACAAAATAAATGGAGCATCAAACCGATTAGGTCATGAATTGAATGTCCAATTTAGATAAGGATTTGTAACAAGATCGTTCGATGAGGTCAGAGGGGTAAACTGTCGGTTTTATATACCAACATATATATTACTCGTTTTACTTAAAATGTAAGGATATAAGGAGGGTACGAAGATGCCCTCATTAAATACTAAACGCTTTTCGGAATGGTTGCCCGTAGGGTTATTTTAGTAGACCACAAAATTAGGATAAAAATTCGCCCATGTAGCTGCCGCAGAGAAATTAATTTCTTTAATTGCCTCATTTCCAAACATGAAGCAAGACAAAAACTTAATCAGACATGCCTATGTGCTGGTGTATGTATGGTATGTATTTTTTATTTTTTTGCGTAATGGGTCAACGTGACCTTTAAGTTGTTAGGTACCAGAGTTCAGATCACACAACAGAAATGACACGACCCAACATATACATCCACATATTATTATGCTGTCCGCATTAGCCACAATCTCTACGACACTTAAGACTGTTTTACTCGGTAACTAATAGGCACCAAACTGATATTAGTTAAACAACCAGTCTGGTAGACCGTACGCTCGTCTGTCTACGAAGGCATTAAAGACATTCATGAAATCTTATCTTATACATGTCAAAGAAAAAGTAAGAAAATTATAATTTAGGTCTTTGACACATAAAAAAATCGGACAAGCGCAAATCGTGCCTTTAGGGCAGGGGTTCCCAAACTTATTTTGTCTACTGCCCACTTTGAGAATATCTAATTTTTAGCGCCTCCATTTTTTCACCTACATCAAAATCACTATAGCGAGAGCTCAGTCGGTGTCTAAGAGTCCTCCTAGATGAAATTACAAATCGCCTCCGAAGCCTCTACACAACGCCCCATTTTTTTTCCGGGTCTCTTACCGCCCCCCTATAGGCCTGCAGCGCCCACAAGGGGGCGTTATCGCCCACTTTGGGAAAAGCTGCTTTAGGGTTTCGGATGCATAAGGCTCTCCATACACAGCTCTGCAGTAATATCTTTGTTCACGTTAATACATGTATCAACAAAATATACATAACACACAAATGCTTCAACAGAAATAATTTAAATAGACACATTAGACATATTTTGATTAAAAAGAAATACAAATTGCATTAAACTAGATTGCATCAGCTAGAGCTTAAACAGAAAAAAAACTTCAATCATGAAATTACTGATGTTATTGATAGTACTTTCTTGGGCGTTTCTAAATCATAGATTTAACAAATACTTCTTTTACTAAGGTTTACTTCATTCGCTTATATTATTTTCATTTCCATTTTATAATTTCCGACATTTCAATTATGTTACTTTCCTTATTACAGAAGACCAGTGTCGTTTGACCATGCACAACTACTGTCTAATTATTATTTTTACTTGGACTGCGTATTTTAATGGTTTAATCTCGCGTTTATTACCGTCATTATATGATTTCCAACGTTCCAAATACTTTAAAACGTTTTTTACCAAGGACGACTAATGGTTTTTGTCGATATTTAAATATTGTGCTATCAATTTCTAATTATTTTCTTTACTTTTTGCGAGTCGTAAACATAATTAAAAGTACTTTTACGAATTAATCTCAAGCTTATTATTTTTATCATATATTATTATATGAGACGTTTCGAATATGCTGCAGTGCAATTGCTAAACCTCAGGTTATTTTCAGTTATGAAAGTAAATGTTACGTAGTCTGGGTGAAAAGTAAATGTTAGGACTATTTTTTTAATTAGACGGTACTCTCAAAAATTTCGCCGTTGCCGATTCCAAGCCAAGATGAGAAAACAGGAGAGTTGTTTGGACGTATCCTTCCCAACCGTAAAAAGTTAACGCCGAGCATCAAGCGACAGTGAAATATCTCACTTCTTCAAAGAATGCAGAGCAAGAATCAAGGGCAAGCCCAAAGTATTTTAAATACCCTTGAAATAAGTGGACTTGCCAACTCGCAACGGCCAGTATGGCGTTTTAGGGTCAATAACCTTCATGCACACTTTTAGGAGAGCAATTGAAATACCTACGCTCAGAATTGGGTGGACACGGGTTGAAGAAGATATCGGCAAAATATTGATATTGCAACGAATAACACCTTAGCGGTCTCCGTGACCACAGGAAACGTGAAGTATTTAAAATGTAAGAAATAATTACAGTGAGAATAAACAAACTCGAGATTAAACTGTAAAAGTAGTTTTAATTATATTGTCTAATTAATGTTATTTTTTATTGTTACAATATTAAAATTTATAGTCAGACAGAAATTCTCAGTGACGTAATCTGTACAAGACCCAATGTAGGCTAGAATTAATTAATGACAATTTTGAACAGAGTTAGCTTAACAATTAGGTTTTAGGAATGTAAAGAAATACACAGGATTCAAACCTTTAAAAATATATTTGTCAGATTGTAATAACATGTGTTCATGTCTTAAAAAGTCAAATACTTTATAATAATTCTTCTTAAATTTGGTCAATATTTTAATTATTTTAATGTATCAAGTTTGATTTAAACTATTCAAAAATTGTTGAAACAATATATTCCGTTCTCTTTGTATGTTATTTGATTCTTGTACTATATTTATTAATTTATCTAACTTCTCTTCAACTGTCCTCTGCCTGTTTCTCATTTCTAGTGCTACCTTACGGAAATCAGTATATCTTCGCCTATTTAATTTCCTTTTAGACTCCTCGCTTTGACCATTTGAGCTTTCACCCATATCGGGTTCCTGTTCAAATTTCGATGGTTCAGCCATAGACAATATAGCCTTAGTGACAGTTTCAGTTGCATTGTCCTGAATTTTTACTTGTATATCTGGTCTATACTCCCCATTCTCACTGTAGATTTGTTCAAATATTTCAAAATAAGGCCATTTTATCATAACAACCTCATTTCTATTTCGTCTCTTCAAAAGTCTTACATATGTTTGTTTTAGATTTCGGAACTTTTTATCACAGCTCTCGGGGCTATTTCCTACCGCATGTGCTATTTCTGCCCAGACAGTCTTCTTCTTTACTTTTGAACTGCGAAATTTGTCCAAATTTTGTAAATATAAATCTAAAAGTGTTTTGGTACTATTATTGTCCCAGTGGTCATCTTGATCATCACCAACATCTGTTCCTGTAACTTCGGACTGATTGAGTTNATTTCGGAACTTTTTATCACAGCTCTCGGGGCTATTTCCTACCGCATGTGCTATTTCTGCCCAGACAGTCTTCTTCTTTACTTTTGAACTGCGAAATTTGTCCAAATTTTGTAAATATAAATCTAAAAGTGTTTTGGTACTATTATTGTCCCAGTGGTCATCTTGATCATCACCAACATCTGTTCCTGTAACTTCGGACTGATTGAGTTGCATATACACCTCCTCTGTTTCAAGATACTCGACATCTTGAGCTAAAAATTCAACACAATTGTCATTCTATCCTCTTATTAACTCTTACATATATTTAGCAATTGAATAATTTAAGGCACAATTATACGCTGCCGACGTGTTATCGTCGATTGTCTTTTATCTCGTGCTAAATAAGTACAGTTTATTGCTATTGTAAACATCGGACCAGATAACAGCTTGCGGCAGCGCTTCATTGGATGAATTTATCCAAAACTGTACAAAATTAAAGCTGTTTAAAAATTAATGAAATAAACGTGAATATATTTACCACTCATTTGTAGTACCTATTTTTCTGTGTAGAAATCAATGAATATTTACTCAATTAATAATTTATGGACACGTTATCTAATGCAAACACCAGCGATTCTTGCATCACTCAGCGGCCTTAACAAAATGGCGCTGACCGAACGTAAAGCGCTTTATAACCCGACCAAATGTAAAAATTATTGGATATTTTTAAAAAGTTTATAATAGAAACATATCTATTTTTTTGTAGTTTTAATGAAAAAAAAGGAACATTTATGTAGGTACGGCTTCTCTTTTAGCAATCAGTTTAGCCCTACGAACACGTTGTACAATAATGAAAAATTTGAAAATCAGCAATCTGAGTATGTTTTTTTAATTTCACCGCGTCACAACCTTACCCTTGAACTACTCAGAAAAGTAGTAAGTGAGAGCAGCTGCTACATATTTACTGAATTAATATATATTCATTTTTATTTTAATACTATTTTAAATTATTTTTTTCCAAAATCTTATGTTAACTATCAAGATTAAGTTAGTTTGCTTTACCATTCTAATTAGAGTAATTTAACATGGAATATTTGCATTTCAATTTGATTCATTGAACTTTAACATTATTTTTTTTGAAATCATCTAGTAGTTTTTTGCCAAATTTCACCTGTATCAGATTCTGGTATAGCCTTGTAGGTTGCAACGTGTTCATCCTCTTTCACTTGCCCTCCATCAATCGAGAGACGGTTTTTCCGTGGCTCCGACATCGTTAATTGTGTACTACACTCTTAAAACCAGTTTTTCACTTCGAGAAAGTAGCCCTTTCACTATAAATCACGACTTGCAAATTGCTGTGCAAGGTACCAATGTACTAGGCCTCTGTCTTTCTTTTCCTAAACTACTCCATAGATTAAACAAAGCTAACACCCAACAGAATATGTTCCATCCATAGATCATACACAATCGTGTGTATATAATTTTAATTTTAAAAATTTTAATTATGCAGGATTACTAAACCATCGAATAATGACTATCACTTTTTGGGAAAGACCAGTGACCCTGAAACAGGATTTGGACAAAATGCTGGGCGTTAATAATTGTTAAAAGTAATCCTTTTTTAAATTTAATGTGGCTCAAAATCTCATCGTTATTGTCCCTGTTGGGCAACAAAGGCTTACGGCTGCGAAAGCTTCTGGAACTCCTGAACAAATAGAGCTAATTGTTAGGATAAATAAATAAATAAATTTTTATTTCATTCTTAAAACTGTATTTTGACGACATATCATAACGTTATCTGCTTAAAAAATAAATATAGATTGGTTATAGTTTTATAAGAATAGACATAATAAGTAAGTCTTCGTAAGAGCTTACATTGCAAAAGAGTACAACCTTGTTTAAAATATATTTTTCTTATTCTTATGGTGGAAATTCGAAGAGTGAAGTTGTGTAAAATATTTTATTTTATTAATTCAGTGTTCCTTATGGCTTAACTGTATAATAACGGCGATTTATCAACTGTTTAGGATCTGTGAAAGTACACAAATTTAAGAAAATGAAACAAAGCCGCTGGATGTAGCTTATTGAGTTCTTCTAAAAGAGCCACTGTAAAAGGGTAGGTTAATAAATATCATTTTATAGAGACTTTAATTCATCCCATCTCATCCTCTTCCATTTCATTTCATCCCAATCGATTATATACACAAGATAATTGTCACCTGTAGTAATTGCAGTTGTACAACAAAAATAAGCAGACTTTTGAGACTTAGCCTAAAGATTTCATTGGCAGACCATAAAATATTAAAAAAAACGTAGGTCTATGGCGCTGTAGCATGGTCCGGGTGACAGTTGCATAAATGACGTTGACATCTGTCTGTACCACATGACTGGGGATGTGAAGTTTAGCTATTCATTTTTATCGCTGACGATACTCTCAGGTGTAGTTCTCTATAGTGTTATGAAAATTTGTTTAAAAAGTAAATTACATATTATTTATTTGATATTTATGACTACGTTATCACGGATATACTAATGCGTAGTTTCTAGGGATTAAACCTTTATCGACTATGGCCTATGCGATATTTGAAAACTACTTATAATATTATGTTTGATAGATAGTATTTAAATTAAATATATAAGTAACCTGTATAATCTTGTTATTAAAAATATTTTCGTTGACCATATATAAAATTATCAAAATTATAGACTTTTTAAAAATTAAAATTGATCTACGCACAATATACGTTTTTTATTATTAAAAATATCGACTATCCGTCGTAGCAGTACATCCCATCACTGTATACGTCTATGGCGTTACGTTATACGCATAGCACTTTGCTTAATTTTTTAACATAGTCATAATAATTTGTAAATCGCGGTAAATTTTAAGATTGAAACGAAACGTTACTGAAACTGTCACCCTCACCCGCACCATGTTACAGCGCATTTCTCGAATATATTAAGTGTATAATCTATGAGCGCATTATTAGGCGCCGATATTGTTAAATTAACATTTTCCTTTATGTTGAATGTATTATCTATGTTTAATAATTAATTCATAGATAATACACTTAATTTATCATTAAACCTGGATAGACATACATAGTAATAAAATAGTATGTATAGATTGGCTCTTATATAATGTAATTTCGAAAGAATTATGCAAAACTAGAGGTCACATAATGTAAGTGAAATAACATACGTTTAATTTATATTTTTATATATTTTTAATTCAAATTCCCAATATTTATAACACATCTTACCTTTGAACGTGATATGGCATTGGAAAAATGTTTAAATCATGTTGACATGTTCTAGTAACAATAGTCAGATAGCCAGACATAGCTATTCAAAATTCCCTTGTTCTGAACATTGGCTCCTTGTATTTACTAACATTAGGAAACAATTTCTTTTACTGTCCAAGCAAACTAGCAGACGACCCACCTGACGGTGAGTGGTTACCATGGCCCATCCACAATTTCAGAGGTACAGTCAAGCCACTACCTACCTGTACTTACACATGAAAATTATAAGTGTCAACTGTTTTCATTTCAGGAACAAGTTACATCTATTTTAAATAAATAAAAAAACAAGTTTCAAAATTTTGCTAGTATCATTTGTAATAATGTCATCTACTACTACAACACCATCTACACATGCACCACCACCACCACCACCACCCCTTCATCCTCAAACTTCCTTAGTTAATGTGAAATCCTCTGATTTAAAAACAGTTTCAACAAATAATGTTTTTGTTCATTTTAATTCCTGCCAATGGGCTGCACACTATCCTGAATTGAGAGAAGCATGTACAAAGAATAACTTATTCTTAGAGAAGGAACCTTTCAAATACAAATATAAATACATTGAATCAGTACTTCAAGTTGGGCCCACATGTGGACTTGTTGCACTGTCAATGTTAGTTGATAGAAAAGTTACTGCCAATGAAATGTTGAATATTGCAAAATTATCAGGCTACACTGGCAATGGTGAAATGTGCAGTTGTAAGAACATGGTCAAATTAGTTAAAGAAGTATTCAATTTAGCTGGAATAAATAATGTGACCTTTGAATTGAAAATTGGTAACTTATTTAGCAGTGAAACAATTGAATTGTTAACGGATGGTGCGATTATATTGGTGCCGTATCCTTTTAAGTGTGTGATATTTTATACCTTAAAGAAAAAGTCGAAATATATTTCATTAATTTGTGAGTCCGCACAAGTAGGTGCCACCACCCTGCCTATTTCTGCCGTGAAGCAGAAATGCGTTTCGGTTTGACGGGCGGGGCAGCTGTTGTAACTATACTGAGACCTTAGAGCTGATATCTCAAGGTGGTTGGCGCATTTACGTTGTCGATGTCTACGGGCTCCGATAACCAATTAACACCAGGTGGGCTGTGAGCTCATTCACCCATCTAAGCAATAACAAAAAACATGAAATATCCATAAACCTTTTTGTAAATATACATCTCTACTCTTCATGAGCTCATCATTAGCTCACCTTATTTAGACATAAATTGAAAAAACCCTTAATGTGAACATTCAGATATGATGCTGATTGCAATCACTCACCGTGTCTACGTAATGGTCACACGGCACACTGGGCTCTCATCTGTGGAATCCTTATTGATAACCCTACTGAATCTTTTGAATTAGATGCCAACAATATTTATGTATTATGTAAACATGGAAAGTCTAAGTATTTAGCCATTTGGAAATTAGCAGATTTAGACAGCAGTAATAAGAATCTAAAAGAATTTTCTCCAAAGAAGGGAACTGATGGTTCCACATATGTTCTACCTGATGGCGGAATTGGTGGAGAAGACGGTCTCTGTAATCAATATTTAGTGTTTAAAGGATTAAACCCTAATTAGCTGACTAAGACAATTGTGTTGGATCTTGTTCAGGTTCAAGACAACTTTGAACAGGACAGCTTAATATCTCAATGCATTCATATCGTTGTATCTGTGGGTTCCAGTATTAGCTTAATGTTAAATAGGATTTGACGACTCTTTCCCTCATAGTTATAAATATAGTAAGAGAAATTTATTTAATCAACAACTTAGTAGGTATGTCATAAGTAACATTTATAATGGTTTATATTAATTAGGGTATATTGGTACCATAGCTTAAAACATAGACTCAAAGTATACAGCAGTTAATTGTGTAAATGTATAAATAAAAAATGGATTTAACTTTACTCATGTTCTTATAATGTAACTAAAATAATAGAAAATATGCTGAAAGCTAACAGGCTGAATCTATGGGCCAGAGGGAATGTCAGGGTTAAGAAAATTGTTAAAGAAATCAATATGATCTATTATAAAATTATGAATAAGTCCAAATGAAATGAGTTTGTTTTACAAAAGATGTTGAAATTAAATAATGTTATTTAATGCAATTTTTTATTTGTACAATAAATACAAATCATACTTGCAAACCAGAATAAAATTTAATCTCATCACATTACTCAAAGAGAAGAAAAGAAATATAATTCATAGACAGACAAGTGAGCTCTGTAATGAATTTAAACATTGCCAAAAATTTACAAAATATTGCAGTCTTTTTTGCATTGCTTTTAAAATGATTACACATTATAATTATTTTAGATACTTTGTACTAATTTTATAACTTAATACATTTAAAGGAATTAAAATAATTAGCCATCATAGTGGGCGATTTGTGATGATTTCATTAATACAAGTTAAATTAATAAAACCAAGACTTTTAGAGAACGAAATAAAAGCTGTCTTAGTATTCGGCAGCATTGAGATCACTCCTGGGAACGTTAATTTTTGATCAAACCAAAAACACATTCTTATACTCTCAAGAAATTATATCATTTTAGAAATTAAATCAAGTTATCGATTCCCTTACTTTTAAGAAACGAGGTTTGTTTAATTAAATCAATAACTTCCCCATTTTAAATAAACAGAAAAAAAAATTTATAAAGATTTCTGGCATGCTATTATTAATTATTAATACATTGGTTATGACACGGTAATAGGTATAAAGTAGGCAAATGCCTACATAAGATACAACGGATATATTTCATGCATTAATTTTCCGACTGAATTTTTTCGATACGACAGAAAACAAAAACAATAATTAATGTCGGTAGACAGTAGATGTCACTAGACGATAGAAAGTTTTAAAGAAAAAATTACAAATTTGAAAGAGCTTAGTTTATGAATAATTTTCCACGGCGGAAACAGGCGGGGTGGTGGTACCTACCCGTGCGGACTCCCAAGAGGTCCTACCGCCAGTGATTACGCAAATTATAATTTTGCTGGTTTGATTTTTATTACACGATGTTATTCCTTCACTGTGGAAGTCAATCGTGAACATTTGTTGAGTATGTATTTCATTAGAAAAATTGGTACCCGCCTGCGGGATTCGAACACCGGTGCATCGCTTCATACGAATGCACCGGACGTGTTCTGAACTGATAAAATTCGCACATAGTTTTTTACACTTAATCATTGGGAGAGAAAGAGATAGCAGATTACATCAGTTTCATTTTTGATATGGGGGTGTTTTAAGTGAGCCTGCACAGGTCGACACCACCAACCTGCTATTTCTATTCCGGTCGCGAAACCTATGGTGCGCTGTGAAAGACGGGAAAATGGTTATTACAATGTAAAGGATCCTGCATCGACAATAATCATGTTCTAATCATCTATGAGCTTCCATAACAGCTGACCGTCTTACCTAACAAATAAAAAATACTAATTGGCATTCCAAATGACTGTGTCGTATCGATAAATTCAGACGGCATCTAAAATTGTGAAAAGACTTACACTAAAATCTTATTCTACCAGCGTAATCAATTATTACATTTAAGCTTTTCACACCGAAGCTTAAATTATTTATTGCCCAAAGCGTATTAAAACTTCTGTCTTATCTGTTGGTTATCAAGCTCTATCCTTCTCTCACACAGATAAGTGCTTTTTTGTTTTGTTGCTTGAACTACACATTTTTATAATCGACAAAAATTCGATGTAGAAGTAATAATAGAAAATTACATGTAAAAAGCATAAATTAATTAACTCAAACAAGAACTTGAGTTTAAGTAACTTATCTTTTTTTTACGTTGATTTGACATCGGTGAATGAAATAGAGATACCATTTACATCGAATGTTGAGCGATCATATCGATAACATAGAACATGAATAATACTGACGAACAGCACTAATTTAGGTACTAACACATACTCGATATGTCTACACATCATTCTTATTCAATATTCACCTAACTTGTCTACAGCAATATTATTGATTCAGAACAGTCTGTTTATTCATTATGGTATGTTCAAGAAAGTAACTAGTCTTTATTTAACACTCATGTTTATTTAGTGTAAGTGAATTGGTGTTATGTATACAGTTCAATTCTTTATCAATATATGTTGTATGACTATTTTTAGTAATCCAAAGTATCAAAGTAAAATAGTGATTTTTTGTTTAGTTTTTTCACTAAGCCTACGGAGATTGTTGTATTTATTCCAAATGGTATTTGTACTTTATTCTTAGTACATACATGAGCTACATTGGAAATCGAATAATTAAAAGTTAATCTACATTGCTGGATATTATTTTTAGAAATAGTAACACGGTAGCTAATCGAATGTATATAAATTCACGAAGTGGCTCGGAATTTTTAAAGTATGTAATATCTAAAAAATTCTAAGCGATAAAAAAAAAACAATTAGGAAGATATTGTATAATCTCAACAATGCAAAATCTAGAGTTGACGTATAAAATTAAAAACGCCCTACCTTAGCTGCTATATAAAATAAAAACATGAATGCACCACGACGTCTCTCTTCCGTTATAAAAGAATTAAAACACATTCATGAATCACAGACAATACCAAAAAAAAATACATTTTTCCTCCGCTCTTTTACACACTTGATATGTGTCGAAACTTATCGAAACAATACGTTTCTCCATGCGCCGATACTATACTATACTACATAATATATTGTTGGAAATGTCACGAACCATTATTCATCGATATACACCGAGTACACAAACATCTACGATTACATTAAAATTTAATACTAACATTTAATGACTATAACGAAATAGTTATTGTGGTTATTGAGCCTTTATTATGTAACTTGAATAATATATAGCGTATAAAAACTGCGTAGCATGCATTTACACAGTCGATAATAATTACATATTACCATATTGATATAAAATTTATTAAACATCACACATAACTGCAACTCATTGTTATGACAGTTAATGTAAATAATATTATTTGATAAAATAACAAATTTAATTTGAAACATTTAATAGTAGCCCCGCGACGTTGCCGATATAACNTGAATAATATATAGCGTATAAAAACTGCGTAGCATGCATTTACACAGTCGATAATAATTACATATTACCATATTGATATAAAATTTATTAAACATCACACATAACTGCAACTCATTGTTATGACAGTTAATGTAAATAATATTATTTGATAAAATAACAAATTTAATTTGAAACATTTAATAGTAGCCCCGCGACGTTGTCGATATAACCCAAGCTACACAACAAAAGCTACACCACTACGCTCCTACAATACAATGGCAGCTCGACAATTTAATAAATATCGATATTGAAATGATAATACAATTATGTAGCAAGTCATTGTAATGATAAATATCGACAAGCCTAATACAGTTCGACTTTATTTAGAGCCCTGATTCGACCGGAATGCATCCGGAGGTGGACCGTTGCGAGACTACGTAACGTCAAACCTGCCAACCAACGTTTGACGATCGAGCGACATCGGCCCCTTTGAAGCGAAAGCGAGAAATACCGATAAAAGATCAACGCGCCCTTAGGTCTCTGGAGGGGCGAGGGGAGCTCCGCAGGTCGCCACGGGGAAGGTCTTGACGTGCGTCTGCCACTGTGTCGACAGTTGGAAAAATTTAACCCCATTCCACTCTGTTCCGTCGATAAATACTGAAACCAAAATGATTAATTTGTTAAAAACTTAACTGCTGTCAAGTTAGGTGAATGTTGATTAGAATGATACGTAAACATATCGAGTATGTGTTAGTACCTAAATTAGTGCTGTTCATGAGTATTTTTCATGTTCTATTATATGATATCGATATGATCGCTCAACATTCGATGTAATTGGTATCTCTATTTCATTCACCGATATCAAACGAAACAAAAGATAAGTTTTTTAAACTCAAGTTCTTGCTTGACTTAATTCATTTATACTTTTAAAATGTAATATTCTACTATTATTACTTCTCGAATGTTTATCGATTATAAAAATGTATAGTTCAAGCAAGTTAAATGATATTATAATGAAATAAAATGATATCCTTGTAATAGTACTCGGTGTCTCCGTTATACAATGAAATGAGCAGATTTGTTTAGAAAAAAAAACATTGAACGTATTTTCACGCACGATAATTTCTTATTTTGTTTTTTTGAAAAGCGTAAGTAGGTGTACCTTTGAGTGGTTGATTGTGCGAGCTCTTTGCAGAGCAGATGAGTCTGGCCACACCGTCCACTGTCTGGGTGCGTCCCACTTCTTGTTCGCCCCCTTTCTCTTTTTTCTTGCCAAGTCGCATTACTATAACAGTTTATTTATATATCAGTGCTACAAGCAATTAGGAAATACAAAGTAAAAAAAACGAAAACATTATTAATGTTTTTAAATTAGAATAATGAGGGTCTTACTTTTCTGTTTCTTCTCCTTAGTAAGGTAGGTGATGCAGAGGTGTGCATTTTGACGAGTTACGTGAAGGGCTCTGAACGACGCCTTCACTGTCACCTTACTGTCTGTTCCTTCTTGCTGCCGACCTGGTACCTGGTCAAATTGAAATCGGAACAGAAGTCAATGGATTTTGTCCTGGTGGACAAAATGTAACCAAGGATCTACTAATTGGCTCGTTGTTTACTCATTTATTACAAAGGTGAGTGAACGAACAGCTAAAGTTACGTGGTTACCGCAGCCCATGTGCATCACACGTATAGTGTCAGTTCCACTATTCGAATCGGACTGTTTTTCGGCATAAATAACAAAATTAATAACACCCATCAGAGCGAAGTAACAGTACACTCTACAACTGGGATATCTTTGGCAGTTCTTTATTGTAATTTATGTAATTTTATTCGCTCAGTAATATTAAAATTATTACTGCAAAAGTACGCATTTTTATCTATACTAATATATAAATCTACAGTGGTTTTTACGGATGTTCCGTTATAACTACTGAACCATGCATCCGATTGACTTGAAACTTGGTATCCATGTAGAAAATATATGTACCTACTTAATAGATAGGCTAATATTTATATGAGTGCTGGACTCCTTACACCAGTTGCAGGGGGGTTCATGATGAGAATCTTTGTGGGGGTAGGAAATAATAATGTTAATTTTAAATGCCCAGCGAAGCGGACGGGTACCGCTAGTGTCATTATAAGAGTGCACAACGGTGCCTTCAATGTCGAACCGCATGAGCTAATGTTCTCAGAACTTGGGCAATTCAACTTGATAGATTTTATGCCACATATGTTGAGATGGAAACAGCTCACGAGACAGGCCACGGTCAAGTTTCAGGGACACGACCTTCAGCAATGAAGAAGAAGAAGATAATGACCGAACCACTGGTTTGCTACATGTAGGTTGTAATTGAAATATTAAGCTTTTGAATTTGACTGAAATTAATATTTACCAGCCAGTAATCGAGCTGTATGTCGAGCGGCTCGGCGCGGTGCAGGGCGGGCGCGAGGTCGACGTGTGGGGCGGGCGTGCCGGGGGGCGAGGGTCGAGCGGGGGGAGACCCGCCCTCCTCCAGCTCCAGAGACGACACGCCACCCTCGCTGCAACCTATTCGCACCTCCTGACGAAATACACATTTTTTTAAGGCGATTTTTTTACCTGGTAACTAAGACTTTTAAGGTCATGTCTTATTTTAATTTATATTCTTATTTTTATGAAAAATGATAATATGGAGTAAACTGAAGTGAAATGAAATGAGATAAAATGATATCGGATGAAATATAATCACAGTAAAATGGTGGTCATTTACTGCGGTTTTTTTCATTGGACTTTTTGGAGGATCCCGAGAAGTTACGTCTAGCGGCTTTGTTTCATTTTCCCACATTTGTGCACTTTCACAGATATTAAATAGTTAATAAACCACCGTTATTACATATTTAAACCTGAAGAAACTCTAAATAGACAAAATAAAACAAATCACACAACTTTACGCCTCGCGTTCCCGCCAAAAAGTCCGAAATACACACATCCTTGTACTTAAGGTTGCCAGCCCTTTATTTAAATTTGTTTCTCGTTGAGACTAGATATAATTAAATAGATTTTTTAAAGATAGTAAAGTAGCTAGCGGTAGTAACCTAATAGTTTATAATAAACAAGTACAGAAGAGACAATCTATAACTTACGGCTATAAACGGAACGAACGTTTGACTAGCGTCCTCGTCTCCTGATTTATCTCTGTAGGCAACCATAGCCTCACCTATGGGTATATTAACGACTGGACCGATGCTGTTTAGATACCTGTAAAATTAAATTTTTAGAAGTCTTGGAATGCAATTACATGAAAATTATTAATATACATAAAATATTCCAATTGTTTCACATTTATTTTCAATTAGCTTATAATTTACTGAAGTAGAAAATAATATATATATTTTTAACAAAAATTCCCAGTGTTGTATGCCCGAATGGCTCAATATTAAGCCACGGAGTCTCTTAGTGGGTCGCGATTCCGATAAGTGAGATTCAGTGTTGGCAAACACTATTAGGTTGAGCCCCGTGAGCTCACCTACCAGCTACAGCGTACCTGGAATAGCCCCTTAGGCTTCTAGCGAATAGGTAGGGTAAACAACTCAATGTCATTTTTCTGAGCGCGACGCCATCAAATCTTCCGGCTATGAGGTTAATTGTAATTGGTATAGTGAACTTTAGTGCAATCGAAATTTCAGCCTATGTCAACTATGAACCTAAATTTTAAATAATCGAATCACATAATTACTAATTAAATTACTTAGTTCTGTAATAACCGACAAAGTTTTTCAGTTAGTGCGACATCTCAAACGTCATTTCGTTGTGTACCTGGCGATCCTGGAAGACATCTCGGTGATGTCCGGGGGCGACATCTCGGCGGCGCGCTCGCACAGCGCCGGCCACGAGTCGCTCGAGAACAGCGCCGCGTATCCGGAATCGTTCGCAGACAGATAACGTGACACCGTGTTTGCACCTGAATGTGTTATTCCAACAGTTCAATAAGATAAATTCATTTAAAAAAAAATGGTTGTCTATAGAGTCGGTTTACAGACGAGGGTTTAACACGATAAAGTCAGTAGGAGAACTATTTGAACTGCTAGCTATGACGTCACGAGAAAAGGGTGATAAATGTGTTACAAGCCAACGCTTGGGCCGTTCGTGCCTCTCCATGCTTGTTCCGCGCTCTCGCTCGCACGCTCAAGCTCAGGCGGAACGTGACACTTTTTCGTGCGTGCAGCCGGTGTTCATCGATTTATAAGACATTATCACTACTAAAAAACTAGCCTTCATCTCGCACGAGCCCTCTGCTTCACATTACAAATGTACGTACAATGAGTATGAACATTATCACTATAGATTACATAGTATTTTGTGATAATATTCATGACAATTCTGTCGATTCTTAAAAAAAATTGTTTGAGGTTCTCAGAATATAATTAGTGTAATGTTTTGTGACATCGTTTTGTTCGCTGACCGACTTGGTGATCAGGCAATTAAGGCTTATATATGTATCTATTTAAACGTATATAAGTATTTATATCAGTATCTGGTTCCCATGCATGTATCTATTTAAACGTATATAAGTATTTATATCAGTATCTGGTTCCCATGCTACCGGGAATCCTACATATTTTGAGGTCGGATGACTGTATTGACTTGTTTCCGGTTATTATAGTTATTTTTATATTCCTCAAGTAATTTTAAAATTCTGCGACCAGGCAGGCTTCCTTTATTATTGCTAAACAAAACTGGATGAAGTTAAAAATAATCTCCGTTTAGTTCCACTTACTATTTGCTTATCGGATATAAGCTTACAAAGATGCACATTCTCAAAAAGTCAACATCAACAACAATTTTTTGTTTGTATTATATAACAGTAAGAAATGCGCTCTTGCTAGGGCCTGTGTTAGCAACACTCCGGTTTGAGTCCCGTGAGCTCTACTACACGTAAAGGAGAAACTGAAATAGCCTCTCAAGGCTATCAGCATAGGTAGGGGGAAAAAGGTATTGTTAACAATTTTTTCGTGAGAGGTGCTAATGGCGTCTCCCCCGACAGTGCGCACAGTACCGCCGGTCATCATCCTCATCGAAACCGTCGCTTGCGACGAAGGGCTCGACGAGTAAATTAAACCACAGACACAGCCCACTGAGTTTCTCGCCGGATCTTCTCAGTGGGTCGCGTTTCCGATCCGCTGGTAGATTCTGCGAAGCACTGCTCTCGCTAGGGTCAGTGTTAGCAACACTCCGGCTTGAGCCCCGTGAGCTCACCTACTAGTTAAGGTTACGCTGAAATTGTCTCTCAAGGCTATCAGGTTAGGTAGGAAAAAAAAGCGCACAGTACGGACCTGTGGGTATGATGTAGAAGCGCACGGGGGGCGCGTCGTGCGGGCGCCGCGCCGCCAACTCACAGTGCGCCCGCAGCGCGCTCGCGCACGCCGCGTCGCCGCCGCACACCGCCACGCGCATCCACGAGCGACGCGAGCTCCTGACACATACACACCAATCAACTAAACATGTGTGCGAGCACAGAGCGAGGGTGCAGTACTTCGTCTTCTCGCATTAAAACTGTATAATCTCAAAACTTACTAATTTTACAGGAAAGCGTTTTAAAGGTTTAACATTTGATAAAATCATGTATTAATTTTGTTAATAGTAGTCAAAATATAGGTAAACTAAAAAAAATTATTAAAACTAAACTACGCTCTTTTGACAGTATTTATGAGAAAAATACTGGTGATACTAAATGATTCCGCATATTAATTCAATTGCGAATATTTTTGGAAATTGTACACTTTTAATGCGAAAAGACGACTTGTTTATAATGATAAGTCTGGATTTTACTAACTCACTTTAATACACACACAATTACGTACAAATGTTCTATGCCATATGTTACATGTTAATGTTGTAATTAATAAATGTTAATGTTAAATGTTACGGTCGCGAGGACTGAACCCAACTTCCGCGGAACCAGTTTGTTGTACGACTCTTGTTAAAGTTCAACTGCAACTTTAAATAAACGTGCAGTGTGACGTTATTGCTTGCTAATATGTTCCGTCTTATTACACCGAACAACATGTATTTTTTACACATGGATAATGTCGAATGACATCGTGGCCTAAAGAATAAGACGCCCGGTGTACGTATTGAGCGAAGCGACTGTACCGGTGTTCAAATCCCGCAAACAGGTACCATTTTTATTTTTTTTATTAAGATTTAACATCCTAGCTCTAGAAATCTGAATCGTACTGAAGATTATTTCCACATTTAAATGAAAATAAAGTGTTGATTTTGATGTTGCGTCAAAAGTTGACATTTTTATTAGATGATGGATGAGGTGTCATCAGCAAAAAAATACATACTGTTTGACGGGTCTGGAATACAAAGCTTGCAGCAGCGGCCTGACGTCGGGCGCGTGCGGCCACGGCACCACCACGGTGGGCACGGCCAGCGCGTGCAGTGCGGTGGCCACGCCGCCCGCCCCCACCACCGCCACGCACTCCGGGGCCGGACCGTCCTCCGCCAGGAGCCGGGAGATCTGCTCCATCATCGTCCGACGTGGCTGAACGTAAATGTTGTCATTACCATAAAATTCAAGTCTTTAATTATAAACAGAGTCGAAGAATACCTAATTATTTTCTTCCTTTACACTGGCAAGTACAATCATGTTCGAAAAGGACAAATTACGGTGTGAAATAAAATTGTTTCCTGCTTTTATTAATTAAAAAATTACATGTATTTATTTTGGTTAAACGTATACGCTTGACCGATATAAATGATAAAACACATAACAATATATAACAATATCTTAAAAATTAGATTTATTATTTTTGTTTGATTACGATTTGCAAAGATAAACGTACCGAATGAAAATTATCTTCAAGCGTCTTAACTCGCCCGGTATGCTTTGATTGGATAATAATTGTTTAGTAATTGATAATTGTTCATTTCACGATGAAGTTTTCTTCGTGTAATGAATATTAAAAAACCCAAAGAATTAATGCTCCAAACCTCGAGTGTAGTTGGGCTGTGTACCGGCAACTCGTGTGCGGACAGAGGTCGGTCCATTCCACTGACGAGGGAGTTCTTCTTGCGCCCCGCTGTGGCCGGGGTCAGGTTGCTGCCGCTGGTGGCGCTCCGGAACAACCTAGATCTCTTATCCTCCTGCGGGCACAAATTAATATATCATTTTCCAGGCGAGTCTGGATACGACGTAGGTATAACGATGGAGGGAAGATCTTCCACCGAGCGGGTGGTATTGTTCGGTAGACCGACGGTCAGTGGTCGATTTACATTAAGGGCAGGCTGGGCAAGTGCCCAGGGCGGCAAAATTTTGATATTGAAATAAATTTTTTTTTGTCTTATCAAAATTGCTCAATATAATTAATTAATTCTATTAATTAATAATTTTCTGTTTAATTGATAATTCAACAAATTCAATTCATCCATTATTTGTGAATTATAATTTTGGTACTTTTCATCTGTCAAATATCTTGCGTTGTATGAAGGCCATAACGACATTGTAGCTTTGATGTCGTCATTAATACCTTAGTCTCGTTGGGCGGCGAGCTGGACACGCTAGCCCCGGAGACTGGGGCTTCGACGGTGACGTCACCGTCGCTGTTGCCGTCGCTGGCGCGCTCGTCGCCCGCGGAGCTGCGGATCGCCTCCGATTCTGTCGCACGCAAAAACACCCGTCAACACACATAAGCCAATCAGAGACAATACCGAATAGTAATTGACATTCAAAATTGACTTTTGACAACAAGATTTAAAGATAGACAATCTAAAACTAAAGAGTAGAGTTTTAGTTTCTGAGAGAAGACAAAGTAGTGTTCAGGTTAGGTTTCGAAAAAAAAAAACAATTTAAGAAAAAACAAACTAACACACATGCCATAAATCATACGGTTATGAGACTACATGCTGATTCTACATAGGAACAGAAGCTTCGAAGTATAAAGAAACAAAAGAGACTCACATAGCTTAATAACTCTGAGATTAACAATGAACTACACACTACCTCCTTCGAATAATTATTAACGACTTTCATTTTCTAGTAATTTTGCTTAAATTAAGACGTTTTGCTTTCAATCATAAATTTAAAAAAGTTTTTGACAAATATCATGACTGTTTCAATGTTTCGAATTGTTCGCCGGTAGCCTAAGATGCTATTTCAGCTTCGCCCAGGCAACCTGAGAGAATTAGTTAAGACTAGCCCTAGCAAGAGCAGTGCTTCGCAGAATTTACAACCGGATCGGAATCGCGTCCCACTGAGAAGATCCGGCGTATTAAAAAACTAGCTTATTTTTTAACTGGTTTTTTTTTTGCTTAGATGGGTGAACGAGCTGACAGCCCACCTGGTTGTTAAGTGGTTACTGGAGCCCATAGACATCTACAATATAAATGCGCCACCCACCTTGAGATATAAGTTCTAAGGTCTCAAGTATAGTTACAATGGCTGCCTCGCCCTTCAAACCGAAACGCATTACTGCTTCACGGCAGAAAATAGGCAGGGTGGTGGTACCTACCCGCGCGGACTCACAAGACGTCCTACAACCAGTAAATTCGTTATATTATTCGGGTATTCGTTAGGTGTCAATAGTGAATTGTTCATTGTTTAATCTCGCGAGTTTAATTAATGTAAGGACGTATTCACAGTAAGCGTGCTGGTTACCTGCGAACGGGACGGTAGCGACGTTCCGTTCTCGCACTGCGCTCAGCTCGGCGGCGGACGCGAGGCTCGCGTGTCGCGTCACTGCGCATGCGTACGTACGTACCTTTATAACGTGCGTGCACCGTGTGGAACGTGCACTTCATAATACCAATCAATTCATTATTAAATTCACTCATGAAATTTTGGTGATCGAGTGCGAATTAAAAATGTAACTCCCATTAAAATATCTATTCATTTATATTAAATTGGATGTTTTTATGAATATCTTATTGCCTGCTTTACATTGAGCCTCGAGTGGAAATCAATTTTAATAAATTTTTTACGTGACAACGCCTTATTATTCGATGGAGCCGGCTGCACGCACGAAAAAACATAACTCATGCGGCGTTACCTCGCTCCTACTTGAGTGAGCGATGCATCCGCGTGGACAGCTGCTATACAATAATACATTTACATATTTTCGTCAAGTATGAGGTTCAGTGAAAAGTGAATGTGGTGTCAATTGTTTATAGCAACGATAATTGCGATAATTGAAAAATGAAACCATTCCATCGCAGTATTTTCTTATGACGTTGTCACGTTCAACTATCGTCAGTAAACCGACTTTACAGACAACCGATTTTTTACTAGAAAACTTAAATATTTTATTTCCATAAGCATTATTATTACATGTTCTGGAACTGTTAAATCGTCTGATTTGATTTCAATGAGTCAATTATATATTTTATTAAAAAAATATCTGGTTCCACACAACACACGCAAAGCACTAAACTATGCACACAGCTTTAAACAAAACACAAATACACAATATCGTCTATTCGTATACAATCATTTGTATGTATAAATACAAACAAAAGCGAAAATAAAACTAAAGCGCTCTCAATATTACAGTTCAGGCATTTCGGCGATTACTGACTTATGACGTCACAACTTATAAAATTATAATTTTACTATGGTATGTCACAGTATTTAAAGAAATCGTGTTCATACATTCTAACATTTAGTATTGTACCAACATCTTGTTCATTTGACATGTTTTTTTTATTTAATGTTCCTAATCTATTTTAGCTTTAGAATGTAGATATATATAGTCGAATCATTGATTTTGAGCCTTCTGGAAAAGACGTTAGGATCATTCAAGTGAACACACATTCAATGTTACATAAAACGAGTGCTATTATGGAAACATTACGGTTTTGATTAGAACAAGACTTGTTAATGCAAACGTGTTGAATATTTTTAATGATTAATTATTTTTTAATGTTTGTGCGATGAATTTCTTTAGACCATGGAACGTGTATCGGATGAGAACGGATGGGGGGTCGTGTCGTTACCATTGGAATGCCTGTGGTGTTCTGGGTTGGCGAGGCTCCGGGAGCTGCTGAAGAACGGCCGGAGGGACGGCTTGGGCGTCGAACCGATGCTGATAGTGTCCATCTGATCAGGTCCGGAATCTTCACCTTCGCCACACGAGAGTGATTCTAGTTCCTAAATAAACAAATTATTTCAGATATTATTACTGTATTACTGATAGTAGGACCTGTGAGTCCGCACGGGTAGGTACCACCGCCCTGTCTATTTCTGCCGTGAAGCAGTAACGCGTTTCGGTTTTAAGGGCGGGGCAGCCGTTGTAACGATACGGGGACCTTAGAACTTATATCTCAAGGTGGGCGGCGGCATTTGCGTTGTAGATATCTATGTGCTCCAGTAACCACTGAACACCAGGTGGGCTGTGAGCTCGTCCATCTAAGCAATAAACCTACCACCAGTTTTTTTTTATGTCTGTTAAAAAATAGCTTACTTGGAACAGCTCGTCGATGTCACGCTGGGCATTGTGTGTGTCGCGCGCCGCCCCACGCTCCGATAATTCCTCCGGCACACGGAAGCGACGCAGCAACGCAGCGAACTTCTGCTTCAAGTTACGTTGCTGCAATCGAACGATACTTTTAATACGAATCATCGATATCACTATATAGTATAAAACAAAGTCGCTTTCTCTGTCCCTATATCCCTATGTATGCTTAAATCTTTAAAACTACGCAACGGATTTTGATGCGGATTTTTTTAATAGAAAATAAATTAAATTTTTTTAGCTCGTCCACTCATCTAAGCAATAAAAAAAAAAAAAAGATAGAATGATTGAAGAGGAAAGTTTATATGTATAATAACATCCATTAAATAGTGGAGAAATCAATAATAAATTACAGTTTCCGAAGCGAAACGAGGGCGGGTCGCTAGTACGATATATATCGTAACTTATACTGTCCCATAAGTAGAGGAAACAACTCTGAAGTTTTAATTTTATTTTAATAGTTGTACCCTTTTATTTTCTGTTCACAATGGCATTGCGAGCTCACTCGAATTCTAGATTACAATTTAGATACCGCTACCCACCATGAGACATTGTATAGCATTATAGGCTGTTTCATTCTTCAAACAAAATAACAGCTTAACGATAGAAATAGGCAAGTTCGAGGCTCACTATACGAATTTTCAGAAAGAATAATCATGTCTAGTCCTAAACTTTAAAAGTGTACGCCGCCTTTTGATATGTTGGAACATAATGGATACATGGATAATGTAATTTTTTATCATTAGATCAATAGTCGAAATTGATACAAATTCTATTCCATTACATACAGTCACATACAATAATCTAGTGGCCCGTATTGGTGAGATACTGCAAAAATTAGCCATTAATGGCAATTAGCATCGTTTTTTCTATACGTTCCAATAGATTACTGTTATATAAAAAAAAAGTTGCCTTATTCCTAGATCCTTTTGCCAATTAATGCAACAAACAACTCAGGATACGAAATTTAAACGTCGAATGTCAAATGTCAAATTCACTTGTACGAATGTCAAACACGAACACAGATACACACACACACACACACACACAGGTGACGATTAAACATTCAAAAAAATAAACAGCATCTCAAGTCATAACGTTAACAAACATTGTAATCGAAAAAAAAAAGCGAATAAAAACATTAAGTAAAAATTGAGACCAACAAACACAAGAGACCGTACCTCCATGAAGACGCAACGAACACTACTACATACTACAGGACAAAAATTTACACAAATTTAATCTAATCAAAAGATGAAAATAAAAACGATAAGCTACTAAATATGTAACGAATGAGTTGCGTAATTTATTATACATGTGTACGTACATCGCACTAGGAACATACTGTATCAGTTTATATGTAAACTAAGTCTCCGTGAGTCACGACTCGCGCGTAATGAATATTCATATTATATATCTTTATCATCATCATATTATACACATATACGTAATAATACTAGTCATGGGACTTTGAAAAACCTCGCTTCTATATTTAGACGGAATTTAAAACTGTTAATCGGAAAACAAAAGTAATAAAACTCACGGTTTCAACTATACGAGGCGTCTGCAATATGATTTAAGTTCGAAGTATGGATGAAGTGTTTTATTTCTTTTCGTTTATAGACGCTTAACGTCAAACAGAGCTTGTAGAGCAAGTCAATGCCCCCAAGGTGGTCATAAGACGTGATATCGAAATCTCAAATACTCTCAAATAGTCTCAAATTCATAAAATCAAAATACGCGATTATTTGGAATAAAAAAAGAAATAGGTAGAACAGCGATTAATAGTTCAAATCGTGTCCTACTTTTTTTTCATCAAGTAAACTTACAATAGAATAAAAATCTACTTCTCAAAGCGTCGTCCCAACTAAATTTGACAATAAATATATTAACATTACGAAATATACCACGCGTTCGTACTAAGCACTTAGGCACTAGATAATAATTATTTTTAAAAGCACGAATTCAGGATATTGGATTTTTCGTTTTCTTTGATGGCATGAAAAGTTAAACATGACCACTGTAGACAGCCGATTGTTCAATGAAACTGGTATATTTCATCTCCAATAATGGATCCAAATAAATCTATTTCGGGTACACGGGTAAATAAAAAATGCTTTTTTGTATGCGAACAATCCGTTAGTGGAACACGCGCGTCATACCAAAACGTTATCCGTAATTCTTATCAATTTAATGTAACTATAATAATTTTAAAAGAGAAACAAAACAAACAAACTTGAACACTAAATGACGTAAATATGAAATCAGTGAGAATAGAGATGGGACGCCTTTTATTTGATTGTTGAAATTTTTTCAAAAAATAAGATTCATTTCAACAAAGCCATTACGTTCTACGAATTTTTAATATCAGATTATTTATCAATACGTTTTCTATAAAACGATTCTCGATATAGAGCAAATCCGATGCCGACTAATCGAAGGTATGTCGGATTAATGAAACCTATCAAATAGCGATGAGCCCTGTGGCTTAACAAACGAAATAACATTTAAATTTATAAAGTTTCAAAAAGCTTGCCCTCCACTAAAACCCAGGCCATAAGATGAATTGAGAAATAAACAAAAGGAACAGTCTTTCTGGTTTATTTGAAAAAAAAAAACAAGCCTAGGTTGTTGAGAAGAAACCATCAGTTCCCAAAAGCCAGTGCGAGCGATAAACTGGTAATCTCTATTCTCACGCAATGCAAGCTAGGTGCGGACGCGTGCGGGCTCACCGCGAGCTTCCCGCGGCTGCCCTTGCGCTTGGCTGACGCGTGCTCGAGCTCACTATCGCTGTCCCTCTCGTGCGCCTTTGAACTTATATAGCTTTGCCTTTTCCTTTCTCGCTCCATGAAGCTTATGTCGCGGGAACGCGACAACTGCGTGCAATGCATATTATGCCTATTTGAAAACGCTGTAAGCAACTAAATAGCCTAACTTCATTTAATCATTTATTACGTTATCATACACTTGTCTACAAGATAAATAATTGTCTTCATTATCTTCCTTTTCAAAAACTAATGTGGATACAAAGCATCTTTAAGCGAATGACCTTGCATCAATAATGATTTTGTTTGCAGGGACAATATCTTGTATTTAAATCTAAATAACTTTTTACACTAAACAACTTCATGTTAGTGAAAACTTGTATGTATACCTTTGTATAAGAAAGGTCCGCCTTGTTAAAAGCTAGTTGCCGATGTGTGCGTCGCCGGGCTGGTGCTCCATACGTCATGTCATCTGCTTCTTCTACTGAACTGAATTCGCCCTCTTCTTCCTCGTCAGAGTAGCCTCGCTCTGAAAGGAATAGTAGAGCGTCTTGTGAGCCTGCATGGGTAGATACCACCACCCTGCCTATTTCTGCCGTGAAGTAGTAATACGTTTCATTTTGAAACGTGGGGCAGCCGTACTATAAAACTGAGACTTATAACTCACGTCTCAAGGTGGGTGACGGCCGTTACGTTGCTGATGTCTATTAGTTCCGGTTACCACTTATTACAAGGTGAGCCATGTGCTCGTTCAGGAAAAAGGAACAATTGCCATAGGCTTAACTTGAAAAAAGGTAAATTTTGGTGTAAGCGACCGAATCGATGCATTTGAGATGTGGTGCTGGCGAAATATGCTAGGAATTCCCTGGCCAAGTACGTCGCACCAACGTGTCGATCCTCCAAGAACTCCAGATAAAGACGAGGCTTTCTACCATCTACCTACGTAAAGTTCTGGAATACTTTATACATTGCAAGAAAGGATAACGGCAGATAGGAGAAGCTAATGGTGACTGTCAAGGTGGACGAAAAAAGACCACGAGGTAGAGATCCGACACATTAGACTGACTAGATCCGCACTACCCTTGACACCATAGTTCACAACGTTCTACACTCGGCGGTAGATAGGAGCAAATGGCGTGGAATGGCCCGCAATAAGCTCTTGTTGCCAGGAGGTGGTCTCGACCCTCAGTATTGAAGAAACCGAAGCGAGAAGAAGAAGATGGGAAGGACAAGACCATACACCATATTAAAAAATTATCATCGCAATAAAATCACAAGAATAATTCCTATTACATTCCTTTATGATAATTGATATTATTAATGAAAGTACGCTCACCGGTTATAAGCAGTGTATTGTTGTTCTTCGTGTCGTGATCGACTGGCGTCGAAGCCAAGCCGGTGATCGACAGCTTCGCCACCGGCTGCCCTGCGGCTGCACCCACTTTCCCACCTACCCCGATCAGTTCTAATTCCATATCCATCGAACGTTGGAGAACCTTGGAACACAAACGTCAAAATAGTTTTTCACTCTTGATCTACTTATTCTTTTTATGAAAATTTAATTTTATTAATCATCGAATTTCGAAGGCAATCTCTAAAATTTTAATTTATAATATTTTCTATGTAGGTATGTATAACATTTTTCCTTTGCTCTGTTATTTTGAAGAAAAAAAACTAATTATTTTCGAACACATTTTATTGGTGACACTAAAGCTCGTCGACAGTTAATAAAATAAAGAAATATAAAAACAGTTAACAAATCGAAGAGAAAATAGTACTGAACTGATTGTAGAATAAATAGTACTTATATTTGCTTATTTTTTTACAGCCAAATACGTTATGTATTTCATAATAAAAACGTAACCAAACCACCAATTGAACACTAGTTAGTGCAAATATCAATAAAAAAATTAAGAAAATATGAACACTTCAAGCCTTTATTAATTCAAAATCACACTTCTCGATCGATAAACGGCTGAGTTAGCAACGATATGGTCGTATCGGCGCGTCTACCTAATGTCTACCATGGAGACAGGAACATATATATTTAATTATTTAAGACCAAACAACATTTAATTGCATAGACTGCAGCTAGTTTATCTAAAGGAATATGAAACATTTTTAATACTTTCAATGTATTCCAAAACTCAATTTGCAAAAGTTACTTAGTTATGAATTACTGTGAGAGATGTTCGTTATAATTAGAGATAATTACTATACACAATGATTACCACAGTCTAAAATAGCTAGAGTATGTAGATTTTTATTTTCGTAACACACGACCTCTATTTGATATCAGCGCTGTATGGAAACCATCATTAACGATTGTCAAACATTTCAGATTCGTTAATGCCTATCAAAAATGTTTTATAATTTTCGACGAGATGTTTTCAGACTGCTTTTTAAAAAACATTCCGTCTGACATTTTGTTTGGACAGACTTCACGTAGGAAATGATCGAAAGTGAGCAATTTACGTTCGTTTAAAAACGGTTACCGAGTACTTAAAGCGTTGAGTGTTCGAAATCTATACATTAATACGTGAAGCAAAAACTTTGTATCCCTTTTTACAAAAATTGCGCGGACGGAAGAGTATGAAATTTCCCAGACACGTAGAGAATATAGAGAAGGAGTGCAAAATGCTAATGTTTTTTTTAAATAATGCTTAAAAAATACATTAAACCAATAAAGAAAACATTACACACACTAACATGTATTTGACACACACACACCCATCTATACTATTTTGTTTATTGTGAGTCTGTTGTCAAGTTGAGACTAGATTAATATTGAGAGTAAAGAAGTAAAGTCTGATAATGGAACCATAATAATGTTCAAACTTATAATTGAAATTAATAATTATAATCGAATTTCGACTACCGCGGGACCACTAGTACAATTTATTAGAGATTATACAGAATATTAATGATCACATTCAAGGCTTACTCTTGTTTACGCACGTATGACGTATACACAATGCGATCGTCGTCAAGTTAAAATAACTAGCAACAAGCGGTAATTGGAGGAAATTATAAATTCAACCTCCGCAGAGCCAAGAGCACGCTGTTAGTCACTAATTGTAGATCCGAATGTCCCGGGCGCTTCCTAACGTGGTTCGTTTGGATTAATTTAACGTCCAATTCATTCTACGTTTTAATTGTCTTTTCAATTTGTTTCAGGGCTGTTTTTAGATCATACATAATGAGGTTCAAACACTAACTAAATCTGACAATGGATATATATAACAGCAGTACAGTGACGATCTAGTACGCGTATAATTAATTCTAATAATTCGAAAAATTTCATGGTTATCACGAAGGCCTAGTTTTGTTAGTAATTTTATAAGAAATCTTTAAATGAGGCTACCAGCATTGAATGGTGTAGTTAATGCTCACACTTAACACATTAATACAAATTGCGCGCTAACAGAATCGACGCTTTCATAGATAAAATTGAACAATAGAAAAAATATGGATTGCGATTCCTTTTATTCGCGCGATGATGTTCCGATTTTAGCAATATGTATGTACTATGGATGGGTATATTCAGCTGTTTCACTACAGTTACGTTCGAATAGTGAGATTTAGGAAATAAAATTTATTTTTCTTTTATTTATTAGTATCTGGTATTTATTATTTGGTCTCTTACTTGATCCATTCGGATGACACCTTCAGCCAGAGTTTTATATCCAAGGATAGTACGGTTTTTGTATTTCTTACGCCTCTGTAGCATGATTTGCAATCTGCAATACAAAATTTTGTTTAAATTTTTTTTTATTTACAAATTCCATGTCCACCTAAAATCGGCGAGTGCGAATTTAAAATGTGCATAGTTTTGTATTAGTTAACATCAGATTTACACGGGTCCAGTGCCACTATGTCAGAGCTGACTTGGCAATGACACAATGTTATAGGTTTTTTTTTTGTAACGACCAAATCGATTAAAACATGTTTCTCCTTATTGTACTACGTTGATATAGCCTACATTCTCCGCCGTTTATACGGATATAAACGGATAAGTCCAGTCAAAATGCGCTACAAATTTGATTGGTGCATTTTATTATCTCAGACTTTTCGACTACTTAAAAGTTTTCGTCGTCATGGGTGGGTCACGACTAAGTTGTTATGCGTCCACTGGAGAATTGGTTCATGCGGCTAGCCGCTCCTTCGGCTGGCCTGCGGACCGCGGCGGCCGTTCGCTTGGTACTCGGAGAGGGAGATGCTCAATTTCTACGAATGGCTCATATAGCAGAAGCAGGTGGTGGAGAGTAGGAGAGAGCATTCTTCTCTCTCCGCACAAACCCATCACCGCACGGGTAGGTACCATCATCTTACCCATTTAGGCCGTGAAGCTATCATGCGTTCCGGTTTGATGAATTGACCAGACATTTTAAATTAGTCTCAGACTTCATGTCTTAAGTCGAGGATGCAGATAGAAATTACAACATTACACGTTGTAATATCTTTGTTCTTTGGTTCTAAATCACGTCACACACTGGAAGCTTTCAATAATAAAAGCCAAGTTCAAACTTTATGCACATCTCGTGATCGGTCCAAAATCAATAAATTTTATAAAGGGTTTTTATGAATATGAATAGAAATGGCAAAACAATGATGGTTTCGCTATTACTATTTTATTACAGCCACTAAAAATTTTAGTATCGAGTTTTATGATGTTTACAAAATCCGCGTATCCATCTTAAAAAAATGTGCTTGACGTGTGTGTTGTGTAATGTAATTACGCGGATTTAATAGCGAGAAGCATTGTTTTTATCACAAAAAAAAATATTTATGAAATGTTGCTTTGATTTTTAATAATAATTATATTGCTTGAGTGAAACTTCAGTTGTTAGTCAAACAGGACTGGACATGTCGCTGGATTACAACAATGGACAACCTTTCCAACCATAAATTTACATTTCCAACCATAAGTAATCTTGTGAGTCCGCACGGGTAGGTACTACCGCCCTGCCTATTTCTACCGTCAAGCATTAATGCGTTTCGGTTTGATGGGTGGGGCAGTACTGAGACCTTAAAACTTATATCTCAAGGTGGGTGGCGCATTTATGTTGTAGATGTCTATGGGCTCCAGTAACCACTTGACGCCAGGTGGGCTGTGAGCTCGTCCACCCATCTAAGCAATAAAAAAATAAAATTAATAAATTGAACGCACCTGTTACCGTCCCGTTTCACGAAATGCGGGTACTGAAGCGAAAAGCAGAGGTCCAGTTCGACGTCCATCGGCGGTATGGTGATGTCGTTGGAACGCAACGTGCGCTTGCTGCTGTGCATGCGTGCCGCGAGGATGACGGCGCCCGCACCAGCCCCGCCAGCGGCGCCGCCGCCGGCATCGCCAAGCGCTCCACAGACGCGCAGCCGCGTTACCCGAAGCGTACATAACCTGGAATCATATATCGCTGTTAGATTTGTGTTTTTTATTGCTTAGATGTGTGGACGAGCTCACAGCCCAGCTGGTGTTAAGCGGTTACAGGAGCCCATAGACATCTACATCGTAAATGCGCCATCCACCTGAGTTTTTCTTTTATTGCCCTTGTAAGCCGACGAGCGCACGGCCCACCTGTTGGTGAGTTGTTACCGTCGCCCATGGGCTTCAGCAATGCCAGGGGCAGAGCCAAGCCGCTGCCTACCAAAAGTTCTAAAGTCTCAGTGTAGTTACAACGGCTGCCCCACCCTTCAAACCGAAACGCATTACTGCTTTACGGCAGAAATAGGCGGGGTGGTGGTTCCTACCCGCGCGGACTCACAAGAGGTCCTACCACTAGTAATCACGCAAATTATAATTTTGCGGGTTTGATTTTTATTACACGATGTTATTTCTTCACCGTGGAAGTCAATCGTGAACATTTGTTGAGTACGTATTTCATTAGAAAAATTGGTACCCGCCTGAGATTCGAACACCGGTGCATCGCTCAACACGAATGCACCGGACGCCTTATCCGTTAGGCCACGACGACTTCAATGTGTTTATTGTTCCTTAATTCTTTCGGTTTTTCCCGCCGTCGATGGATAGACAAGCTCCGAGCTCGCTCATTTACAATTCAACAATTGTAATTAGAGTCCGCAGGCGCCACAACTTGAGTGCCCACTTCGAAAGAACCCTCATAGTTCTTAACTATGTTTTGATTACGTTTGTTAAGCGCCTCAAATCGAAGCTTAATACTTCGTTGCAGGAATATGGATAGGTTGACGAAACATTCTTGTGCGAGTACACAATGAGCCTCGTTTTTTTCTTTTTTTTCTCCTACTCAATCGCTGATAGCCTGAAGAAGTATTTCAGCTACGCACGGTTTGGTGAGTGAGCTAAAGGGACTCGATCTGGAAGGACTTGCTAACACTAGTCCTAGCAAGAACAGTGCTTCGCTAAATCTACCACCGTATTACAATGACTGCGACAACCAGGAGTTATACTAATTAAAACGTTTGTTGAGTTAAACTTGATGATTCTTGCTGTCGAAGACAAACATAAAAGCAACCTATTTGATGTTAAGGCGACACTAGCACTGCCAGGGACAGAATCAGACAACTGCTTATTAAAAAGTGCTTTCCTTAAACATAATTTGAAGAGAAACATGCTAAGTTTATTTTCTTCCGCCGTGATTGTCATATCATACATTCAGTATGGTTTCTATGATTCTATTTAAGACTGCAGTAAATGAAGCAATGATAAATATGAAGAATACAATATACACGCTGTGGAATCTACGGGTTTCGGTAACCGCTTAAAAGCAGGTGCATCGTGAGCTCGTTTTCACTAATAAATGTAAGGTCCTTGTTATAATTTTTCCGTTCGTTTGTGATGTGAAATTATTTCGAAGTATCTTTGAAAGATATTATCATGTTTCGTGTGATTTAAATGACATTAATTGCGTTTTATATAGAGGCAACGACCTCTTTGGCGCCAGTACAATATTCTCTTGTCAAATAATACCGAGTAGGTATGTAATAAAATTATTGTGATCCTTTGTTTCCGAAACAGGTGACGGAACGCTTTCGCTGCACGATTTTTATCATTTTGCTGCATTAAATGAGCTGAAGTCAACCTGGAGTCAAAGCCTGGAGGTTTCAACCTTATTTCTATAGACGTAAGGTTCTACCTTTAGAACCAAACGCTTAACTTTTTTTTTTTTTTTTTATTGCTTAGAGGGTTGGACGAGCTCACAGCCCACCTGGTGTTAAGTAGTTACTGGAGCCCATAGACATCCACAACGTAAATGCGCCACCCATCTTGAGATACAAGTTCTAAGGTCTCCAGTATAGTTACTACGGCTGCCCCACCCTTCAAACCGAAACGCATTACTGCTTCACGGCAGAAATAGGCAGGGTGGTGGTACCCACCCGCGCGGACTCACAAGTGGCCCTACCACCAGTAATTACGCAAATTATAATTTTGCGGGTTTCATTTTTATTACACGATGTTATTCCTTCACCGTGGAAGTCAATCGTGAACATTTGTTAAGTACGTATTTCATTAGAAAAATTGGTACCCGCCTGCGGGATTCGAACACCGGTGCATCGCTTCAACACGAATGCACCGGACGTCTTATCCGTTAGGCCACGACGACTACATAACTGAATTGTAATAAATTTATAACAAATTGATTAGAGCTTTTAGTTGCGAATAAAAACGATAAAAACATCACTGTGTTCCGTACGCTGCGCCCAGATTAGCTTCCGTTGGAAAATGTTAACACTAGTTGCCTGGGACCCGGTAGATAAAAGATTACGTACTATGTGCTGTTAAGCCCCTACCATTTCTATACGATTCAATTTGCTTACTTTCTTTTCTTCCCACGATCGGTTTTTTTCCGGCAAATTTTAAATATTATTGAAGTAATTTTATTTTAGCATCATTTTTTTAATCTCAAAAGCAAAAAAGGCTTAAAAAATTACAAATCTAAAAATTACCAGACTAATAAAATAAATGAAGAACTCTCAAAGCTAAGTTGTCTAGTTGGGTCGTTTTAAAACCAAGGTAAGTTCTATAAAGCGACCGACATAATAGTCACGACCGGCTTTCTCCAATCCCCAAGCACATTATCGCCTAAGGTACATACTATATAAGGTATATATGTATGTATTTCTTAATACATATTTACAACAGAAGTTGGTTGACGAGAATGCTTTTTTTTAACCACGATGTATACATATGTGGTGCATTAAATATTATAAACCTATAATAAATTTAAAATATTGATATTTTAAAATCGCGATTATTTGGAATTGTTACACAAAATACGTTCAGAGAAGTTCCTATTCAAAATGCCGACTCAACTAAAACTAGAGCTTTTGAACAAATTTCAGTGGATGGTTTCACTTGGGTTTTTATTTCTAAATATATACAAGAAAAACTTTTACCAGTTTTACTATTTCAATTGTAAATAACACAAACAAAATTTCTCAACGGTTAAAACCACTATCAAATCAGTGAAATTCAAAAATCTGACAATAGTACAATCTACTCAACAATTCGTATCAATAATGCTTGCTACGTTTGAATGAAAGAAAAATCGTTACGAACATGCAATCAGACACTAGCTGTGAAACTATAGGAAGCGACAGTACCATTATGTCTGATTCCCACGGTGCAGACGTAATTCCGTTGTACATATAAAGCTGTCTGCACTCAGACACGATGCGAAAATGTGAACAGACAGATAAAAGGAGAATTTCGTTTCATGTATAAAAGTTTATAGTTGCTCATTTTCTTATTGGGCAACGAACGTTGGAAATTTGGGATTTACGAGGATAAGAGATATTAAAGTTTATTAAAAAGATTAATTAAATCAGTCCATTATCTCTCATAAGAAGGCTTTTCGTGAGGTATTAAGTGTTCTCATAAAACGACGCGCTGAGGTTCTTAACCAAAAAAGACAATGATCGGTTTTTTAAAGTATTTTCGCGATAAAAATAAAAAGAGCATTGAAATTTTTAAGATATTTTCAACCTTTTGGTTATCTTCTTCTTTTCATCAATGTCGTAACTTTTAAAGATTAAATAATAATAAAAAAGCTAACTAGGCATAGTTAAGTAGACTTTATCGCATGATTTCTACAATTGTATTTTTTTTTTATATTTTCGCCGCGCAATTTAAAAGCATTTCCGGTACCGTATGTACAAGTATAACTTTTACACAACATTAACATTCGGACTCCCGAGTAAAGGATTTCACGTACAGAAACCTATTATAATCAACATTCCTTTTGGTAATAGTTTACTTTAGAAATTTGTCAAATAAAATCCGCCTCGGAATAAGAAGATAGTATTCAAACACATTATTTTACAATTGCTATTGAACAAAACTAGGCTACGTTGAAGATAATTTCCCACATTCTTAGGTGCTACCGGTGAGTAGTATGCCTATCTGTGGCAAAACAACATATTTCCAAGAGCAAAAAAGGGGATATAAAACATGGGTTTTCATGCAGAAATCGACAATTTCATTACACAAAGAAGAAATGAGGTAGTAAAAAAATCGTTGCCGGGGAGGGAGACAGACACAATACCCAAAATTTTAATAAAACAAGTTTCACGTCCGAAGTATGTGATTTTTTTTCATCGAGCCCAACATTATGAACGGTTCCCGGACGTGGTCTGAGTACCGAACGAGCATTCATTCAACGAACTGCCGAAATTGATTACGATAAAAAAAAACGTTTAGCGAAAACATGTTTATATTTTAAACTATGCAAAAGCCGACTTTTTGGCGGGAATGCGAGGAGTGAAGTTGTGTGATTTGTTTTATTTTGTCTAATTAGTGTTTCTTCAGGTTTAAATGTGTAATAAAAGTGGTTTATTAACTGTTTAATATCTGTGAAAGTGCACAAATGTGGGAAAATGAAACAAAGTCGCTGGACGTAGCTTCTCGGGATCCTCCAAAAAGTCCACTGAAAAAATCTCAGTAAATTACCACAATTTTACTGTGATTATATTTCATCCCATATCATCTCATCTCATTTCGTTTAATTCCATCCTAGTTGATTAATGTCTCAAATTAATCATTTTCATTTCATTTCATTTCACTTCACTCCATATTATAATTTTTCATAAAAATAAGAATATAAATCAAAATAAAACATGAACTATAGGTCTTAGTTACCAGGTCATAAAATCCCTTAACAAAAAATATGCAAAACCCAACATAAAAACGTGTGATTGGTTAGAATAAGGAAAAAAAATCCTCAACACAATATCTTATTCTATTATAAATGCATGAATGAATCTAAAACGCATTAGCTGTGAACGAACCTCCATTGATATAGCAAACGAGCAAGCTAATAGTAGACTGCACGTTTTTAATGGTCCAATTAGTTTTCCACGCGTGTCTACCCTATTTTCTAGACGGCCACGTCATGGGAAAACCCCTACAAGTGAACTACGGTTACGTGCATTTGAACGCTGTAATTTGAGGTCTACTTTCACATCAGACTGTAATTATATGTTTTTTTTTTATTTTATTTACTACTTATACGAGAACATTGTCTGTATAATTTATTATGTATGCGTGAATAATTAATAACGTGAGTGAATCGATAGGAGACACGCCGATTCCGAAAAATTCGCGATTGATAACTTAAGTGGACTGGAATTGGAATTATAACGGGGATACGACAACTTGTGCTTCCGCACGAGTCGATACCGCCCGCCCTGCCTATTTCTGCCGCGATCAGGATGAGGCAACCGTTACACAAGACCGTTGCGATTTAGACCTCATGTCTCATGTTGAATAGCGGCATTCATGTTGTGTGTATAGGCTCCAATAATCACTCAAAATTATCCGGATAAACGGTTTGCTTATCCATTAATTATACGACACCATAAAAATACGTAATTACAATATCTTGTGACCACTTATAAGAATAAAAATTAATTGAAATTGTGAGTTTTTAAAAGCGTAATTTTCGCCTGTTTTTAATCAACAGAACACTTGCCAAGTATATATTTAGTCGTATTTGTTTCATGAGCTCATTTAGCTTATAACGTATCTTACAATTATTTATAAAAGTATCTTCAGTAATGTTATTTATATTAATTTTGGGCAAAATGGCTTCATGTTCTTATTTAATAAATTTCACGTCTAATTGGTTGTACTATTAAACTAGTTACTAAATCTCTTTTGTATTCAAAACTTCGGCTCTCTGTTGGCAATGCGCGTTTGTATTCTCTTTGGTATGTATGTCAAACTATCAAAATACTCGTAGTGGCGACAACATCGTAAAGATTTTCAATTGCCCTTTGTTTAAAAATAAACTGAATTTTTATTTTAGCGATAAACTGATCAAATATTTGTTGTGCAATGTTAAGTAGATTATTTTGCAGGTATAGTCAGTTCAACGACGCGTTTAATGTTTTGTTTCAAGCATACATCTATTTATATTTTTTGTTTATCTACTTATAATTAAGAAAACAAAAGTTTCGAAAATTTACTTTACTATAATTGAAGGCATAATAATGTACTTATACGAGACAGACAAGCATCCGGCTCGCCCGATGGCAAGTGTAGCCGTGGCTCGTGTAAATCAGGAACGTTAGGGGCCTCGTTTGAAGAAGAACACGTAACATAACTTGAAAACATTGAAAAAATCGCAAATTCTATAAGTCGGTTTTTTATTTATTTAATTTTATTTTATTTAATATATTTTATACACACAGTTGTTAGAAAGAACACGACAATAAGCATACAGAGTACAAGGGAACTACTTATTTCATGTTGAAATCTCTTCCAGTAGGCCCGCAAAAGCAAAGAAGAATTATGAACACAAACCTAGTGCATACATTAAACATTACATATACTAATATATACATTTTACAAGATACAAAACAATATATATACATACATACAAATACACACACACAATTTTTTCAACATTCTACAATGATAACCAAGGCTTTTCTCAATCTCAGCCACAAATACCCCTTTATACGGAACGTCCACACGAAAACAACCAAATCAATGTCACTTAGTTGTATAGTTAGTTACTTTACCCTCATTCGTAGAATCCAACCAAGAAAACTTCAGTGCATTGCGGTACTCAACAGAGATGTGTGGAATAGGGATGTGGCAGTGTTTCTGAAGAATTATGGCAGCGTTAACAGTATTAGGAACGGAAGCAGCAGTAGCAGAAAGAAACCCGTGGTGCCGCCTCATGGTAACAAAGCTCCCAAGTTGGGCGAGAACAGGGAGTATTCACCGTTCCATGAACCAGGACAGGTATATATTAGATTTAGAGATTCAATTCTTTATTATTATTATGTAAAACGAAATTTCAAACGATAGCAACAATATGTCGAGTTAAGTTTTAATATAAAAAGTTTATTTAAAAAAATTTATCTAAGTACTTTATTTTCAAAAGCGAGTTAAAATAATAATACAATGATTAGAGTCTCCTTTCAAGCGTGCAAGCCTGTACTAGGAGACTCCGCTCTTCCATAAAAGCACGTTATATACTACAATATTACAAGTTATATAACTATACTTGAAACCTTAGAAATGATATCTCAAGGTGGGTGGCGCATTTACGTCGTAGATGTCAATGGGCTCCAGTAACCGCTTACCACAAGGTGGGCTGTGAGCTCGTCCGCCCATCTAAGCAATAAAAAAAAAAAGTTATACACTACAATATTACTAATTATATATAACAAATGTGTATATGTGTGTATGTGTGTGTTACCAACGAACTTTTTCGGGCTGAATTTGTTTTGAACAAAATTATAAATGTTTTGATATACTTTAATACACTTATGTGAGTGATTTAGTTATCTTAGAATAATGTAATATCGTATCTATGCTGGTGAGCATAATAACAACACATTGTTATTGCTCCATAATTGTAGTACAGCTTAATAATTATTGCTTATTATTCTTCGTTAGAATGTTATTTTCCCGCAACCTTCTAATTTATTGGAAAGAAATAATAACGTCGGTTGTTCATTCCGTTCTCGTATTAATGCAAGCACAGAATTACCTTCCAGGAAAACGGAACAAATAAAAACTGAAAATGTAATGTAAAAAAAATTCATTTCCATTTTGATTACGAAACACTTTGACGCTGCGGAAGGGTCCAAAAAAATGTTTTTCTTTTCATTTTTATTTTTGTTCGTTGTAACAATTTGTTATGTTCAACAAACCATAATTTTTCGTTTGTTTACGTAATAACAACAAAAAAAAAACAATCCGGAGATTTTCAGAAAAACGTTTCGTCCTATTCTCCGATAACAGCCTCAAACAGATTAAATCGGTACCTACACAATAGAATTATTTTATTTACCGAATTTATTACACACTAGTCCGACAGGCAAATGTAAACATTCCGAAAAACGTGCTCCCGACCGACAGCGAGTAATTTCCGCTGTCCCAGAAACAGAAAGCAATCTCGGGAGAGAACAGCTCCGGTCGAAAACAGGAATTAAACGACTATCCCCCGGGATCCATCCGGTCGGCAATGAGTTTCTGAATCACGGCTGTATTGATTTCGGGACACGGCCTAATTTCTAAAAGGGAAATATATCATGAAATAAGCGAGCCTTTTACATTCTTCTAATTTCCGTTTTATATTTCGATATTTATATCTGAACAACTCGGTGTTTTACTTCGTATATACTTTTCCTCCTTCCTTCCTTTGAGGAATGGCTACGTCTGGTGAAGCGCACCACCAACCGAAGTGATGACCACGACCACTCTGCCAAGAATGCATACGACTGAGAAGAAGAAGAATACTTTTCCTCAGATATTATATTTCTAAGAAGAATTATATTTCAAACAACATCTTTATAACCTAAAGCGACCCGCTCCGGCTTCGCTCGGGTCTTTAACAAAAATTTCAGAATAAACAATTACAATAAGTAGTTTGATAATTATTATTATTTTAATGAACTTTTATTTTCATTTAAATATTTGTTTTTATCTATTTTTTTATTATTTTTATATTATTATTTTTCTAATTTTCGTAACATAAATGGAGTTTTAGTAAGGATCCCTAATATTTTTAAAAAAGAACTTAGCTTATGTCACTCGGGGATAGTGTAGTTTCCAAACAGTGAAAGAATTTTTCAAATCGGTTCAGTAGTTTCGGTGCCTATTCAATACAAACAAACAAATGTTTCCTCTTTATAATATTAGTATAGAAGTATAGATAGTATAGAAGTATAGATTTAATACGTCCCTCTAAAGTTTTTTGATTTTAATCGTTATCACCCATCATATTATTATATGTAGTTTGCAAATAAATGATCAAAATTCGATTTAACAATGGGCTAGGTTTTGAGATTTTTTTTGTATATATCTTTAAAATGTCTTTAAGTAACCGACCGACAGCGCTGTCTATGAGCTGTGTTTGTTACTTGTAAAACCATTTTGAAATCTTAAAGTACTGGTTTCATATTACACGCGCTATTGTTTAAAAGGTTTTTTTTATCACGATTTTTAGTTAGAATGAGTTTCTAATATTAAATATGTCATAGGCCTGGCAGTAGGGCGGCTTGCGGGCCATTTGTGGGCTCACACAGGGAGGTATTATCACCCCGCTAATTTCTAGGCCCAAGCAGTTTTTTTTAAATCAATGCTTTTGTAAAACTGAACGATGCGGTTTTTTTATTATCTCAGTGGACCCGCTTTCAGGGTTTTTCGGCACCGCATTATCAAATCGTGCTCTTGAAAAATTCAGCCTGTATTAAACAACGCTTTCCCATTAGCCGTAAATTCCGAATCCAATTACGCCGGCAAAATAGAGATTTATCTGGGAACCTTTTTTTCGTACGCCTTCTGGGCATGTCCTTATCGATCCCCAGCATCGCAACCCGTCGGTCTTACATCCAAATAACCATTTGTTTGCACGAGACCGTGATTCAAGGTTCAGGCTTTCAGGATACAGTGGCGATATTTATTAGGCATTTCTTATTATTGTTTTTCGATTGCTTGGATTGGTGAATGAGCTCAAGGTCTACTCGGTGTTAAAGCTTCTTAAGTTTCATAGACGTTACAATGTGAATATACTCATTTTAAAGACATAGTGCCGAAGTCCCAAGACTTATTATTATATAATTGGTTATATTATACAATTATTACAATAAATATAATATAATTGGTTATATTATATTCACTACCAGTATTTACGCAAATTATAAAGTATGCACCTTTCCTTAAAAAAATAAATTGTCATTTCTTGTGATTTGATTTGAATATCGCTTCAAGGATTAAATTGCATCGCTTCAAGGATTAAGTAATGAAGACTTAATTTCACAAAGCTGAGTACGAGTATTAAACCGACCACGGACTTAATCGCAATTGTAGTGTTGCTATATTTCAATCAGAATCCACAGAACATAGCTCAAATAAAACACACTTATGACGTAATCTAACTATTATAGAATTATAACCTATTAATAATGATAAGTCTCTGTTCAGGCCTGAGAAACATACTCCAGACTGTTGAAGCATAAACTTTACAACTATTCGACTTATTTTAATGCATGATCGTTTCAGTTATCATTTTAAATTTAATATATCTTTTAAAATAGAATATGAATTCGCTTCGAATGTTCCATTCGTTCTTTTTGATTTATCCAGAACGGGGCAGCCTCATCCGTCAGCCGTCGATATTATTTATTACACGATTTGAATTGACTTACAAATTAATACATTATTCATATTTTATGAATACAAATTACATTAGAGAGTTGACGTATGTACGTTTTTGGATTACGTGATGATATAAATTTGAGTTTATTTTCTTATAACACTGTCTACTAAGCCAACAACAAACTGAGCTACTGATGGTAAAATGAACATATTTATTAATAGAGTTCCGAAACTCTGAGAGATAGAATTCGTAGAGGAACAAAACACTCTTAAAGATTTATAAGACTGATACTCCTAGGTCCCGTGTGTTGACGTATGTACGTTTTTGGATTACGTGATGATATAAAGTTGAGTTTATTTTCCTACAACACTGTCTACTAAGCCAACAACAAACTGAGCTACTGAAAGTAAAATGAACACATTTATTAATAGAGTTCCGAAACTCTGAGCGATAGAACTCGTAGGGGAACAAAACACTCTTAAAGATTTATAAACTTCTACTCATAGGTCCCCTATATAAGTTGTTCTCACGGGTCATCCCAAATCGTCTAGCGAAAAGGCTCCAAGAATTCCTGAATTAACACATGTAGACGTATGTAGACCACATACAAAGACCATAAAAATTCAAGCTCAGCGCGTTATAGGAAAAGAGTTGGTCAGAGCTACTCTCAAAGATAAAGTTAAGTTATTCAACAGGGAGCTAAAAATCATCGACAGTTTTTTTTTTTTTTTTCTTAGATGTTTGGACGAGCTCACAGCCCACCTGGTGTTAAGTGGTTACTGGAGCCCATAGACATCTACAACGTAAATGCGCCACACACCTTGAGATATAGTTCTAAGGTATCAGTATAGTCACAACGGCTGCCCCACCCTTCAAAACGAAACGCATTACTGCTTCACGGCAGAAATAGGCAGGGTGGTGGTACCGACCCGCGCGGACTCACAAGAGGTCCTACCACCAGTAATTACGCAAATTATAATTTTGCGGGTTTGATTTTTATTGCACGATGTTATTCCTTCACCGTGGAAGTCAATCGTGAACATTTGTTGAGTACGTATTTCATTAGAAAAATTGGTACCCGCCAGCGAGATTCGAACACCAGTGCATCGCTCGATACGAATGCACCGGACGTCTTATCCTTTAGGCCACGACGACTTTTTTAGACTTAGTTTATACAATACACGTACTCTCCGGCCGGCAGGACATGGGTGAGCAGAGTCGAAAACGCCAAATTGGAAGAAGCTATTGCTTAGCAGTGGAGTTACGTTTCTGTAAATAAAGTGAAACTTTTTCCTGATTTCAGTCGACAGCAGAATGGGTCGTGGCTAGGGCGGACGACATCCTTAATTGGGGCCGTAGGAATTCTGTATGGCCCCTCACATTCGGCTTGGCTTGTTGCGCTCTAGAAATGATGCACTATGCTGGACCAAGGTAAACTTCATCACATTATTATATTATAATACATATAACGCGTCTGGTGTAGTGCTAAGTGACATGGTCACCACACAAGGGGGTCGCGGGTTCGAATCCCGCCAAAGGAAGATATTTGTATGATAAATATAAAATGACTTTTCCAAGGTTATGGATGTATATTAAATATATGTACGTGTATAATAAAAATCTTACATTTATTTCCGTCATCTGGTACCTGTAACACAAGTTCTTTACGAACTTAGCACGGGACCAGTTAACGTGGCGTCATTGTTAGTAAATATTTATTTATTTATTTAATATCAGAAGTTTCAAATTTTCAAAAGGAAATGCGTATGTATTTAACGCGTGATCACGGACATGGTGCGCAATAAAGTAGTAATAAATATTGAACCCGTAAAATTTTAAGCACTATCTATAGTAGAGCACATGATAAAATCGGTCGGGTAGGCACTAAAAAAAAAAAAAGGCACTACAGTCTTTCGTATACGACCATATCTTTCGCAAGTTGGGCGACCGCACTCATGTTACTTATATCTGTGGCTCTGTTGACTGCTTAATACCAGACGGACTGAAGTATTTCTATCCTGCAATATGTAAAAAAAAAAGATCTCGAAACAGAAACTTGCAAATGCTTCATTTACATCTTTTATTTTACATTTGCGTCGGTTTTGCGACAGCCTACCCCACCTCGGTTGGATTATATCACGACGTGATACATTATGTATTTCTTTCGGAAAATCTAATAACCTAATAAACAAACGTTGATGTACATTCATACCCGTAGTGTATTCGATAATCCAATTGGGAATAGCAGAGATTTTTCTCAGTATGAATTGAAAAGTATTTTCAAGAATATTTCAAAATAAAGCAGTTACAGTAGTGATCTCGATTATGTCATTGACTATTTTAGTTAGGTACAATCATTTACATGTAAGATTGGCAGATTATAGTGTTTTGGAAGTAGCTTTTGCTATTGCATAGATGGGTGGTCGAGATCACGGCCCATATGGTTTTATGTGGTTACCGGAACCCATAGACATCTACAAAGTAAATGCTGCCATTCAACCTCCAGACATGAGTTCTAAGGTCTAACTTTTTACAGTACAACTGGCTGCTCCACCTTTGACAAACCGAAACGCATTACTGCTTCGCGGCAGAAATAGGTGGGATGGTGGTAACTACCCGTGTAGCCTCACAAGACGTACTACCACCGATAACACTCAGATACTTTAACGAACCAGTACTTTAATGCATTCGTAGAACTTTTACAATGGGTTGGGGTTAACAATGGGTTAATGACACAATGTCGATAGCTAACAAGTTGCTAATCGTGATTACTCGTAAACACATCTCACGTTACGAGCATGTATTGTTTTCGGAAAAACTGGAAACATAAACCGAACCATGATACCGAAGATACACGTACCAATTTCTGTAGACAATGTTAGGCCCTAAACAAACGTCATAATCAATGAAAGAAAACATATATTCTAATAAAACTAGGGCATGTCGCGAGCATACCTTTGACGGTACCGCCATCGGAGCATTCGTTTCATTCATCATTACTCCGAGGCAATTAGGACTTCGAAGATGACGAGTACGATATTGACGCTAATAAAAATAATCCGAGTTTGTCAAGTGCATGAAGTAATATTATTGTTGAAATAGTACGATTCTTTGTTTTCTCTATTTTACAACCAGACATAAAAACTGAATCAAAACAAACACAAAGGAAAACAATAAACTTTTATCAGCTCAATAAGATAACATGCTCCAATGTTACTTTTGTTCAAGAGTCACTCCATTCAAAGTTTATACGATTAAAGACTCCAAAGCTTAATCATTGATATTTTGGCTAACACCACTTCAGAATGACAGTATCTTTAGGAACCAGTAGTGAAATGTTAAAAAATATAAATCACCCCCCAAAGGGGACCTTAAGTGACAATATTTAACAATGGGATTCATTTACACTCAGATCCTACGCTCTTAATCAAATTTTATAAGAAATTAATGTTAAATTCAAGAAATCAATCAAACAGTAAAATAGAACAGACTTACAAATAAAACCGACAGAGCTTCCGTACGGAACCGCGTCACAAAATGTAAGAGGGCCACGATCCTTTTCCATACTCCCTTTTTTATAGGCAACGGCAACCCCGCGCCCATAAAAAAATCAAAAAGGTTAAATACATATATCCAAAAAATATATCAAGGGGTGAAAGTCTATTTGGTGAAAGCGAAATTTTTGCAACTTTAAAGCAGATTCATTTAAAGTTTAAAGTTTGAAACTCCACTCCTCAATATGGACATGAAAATATTCTTGGTTGGTTGGTTTTTACATCCAAATACCTATATGAACTGTCCGATATTGTCTTACAGATATGACATGGACCGCTTTGGCATGGTTTTCCGGGGGACACCTCGTCAGACGGACGTGATCATTGTGGCCGGTACTGTGACTAATAAGATGGCTCCAGCGTTACGGAAGACTTATGACTTGATGCCCGAACCACGGTGGGTCGTTTCGATGGGCAGCTGCGCTAATGGTGGTGGATATTACCATTACACATATTCTACCGTTCGGGGTTGCGATAGAATCGTACCGGTAAGTATATTTGCAATTATTTATTTCCAATTTCTGGCCTTTGGAATACTTTGTTAGCGGTTGTAACTGTTCGAACCGGGTAGTGAATGCGAGATTAAGCCAAAGTTATTTTGAATGTCCAATTAGCGTTATGGCCAGAAATAGGATTATAGAAATCAATTATTTTGAAGTTTGTTTTAATAGTTTTGAAGAGTGCAATACCTTCGGAGTTGTAGCCTCTCATACCAAAATTGGTTCACAAGTGACGGAGAAATCGGCAAATGTATTTACATAATAAAAAAATCAAGTCTGTTAAAACATTTTTATTATTCTTTTAGGTGGATATCTATGTCCCAGGCTGTCCTCCAACAGCTGAAGCACTGCTATACGGTATGCTACAGTTACAGAAAAAGATAAAACGTATGAGAGTAGTACAAGTGTGGTATCGGAACTAAATACATTTTAATGTTACTTGTTATTTATTTTGGGTCGTAAATATTTTGGTAGGCAATGTACACTGTAATTAATGAAATTATATTTGAAGAACAATTTTAGGCATAGATAGACTCTTATGACTAATGTTACGTTTACTAATAAATTTCGATTTCCTTTAAATTGTGTTATTATAAAGTGCTATCTCATTTGATTGATTTTAATATAAAACAGAGCGGATAATGTCACACCATGCTTTTAGTCCGGATCACGTAGGTACCGTTTGTCTTTGGTATAGAAATTCTAATGGAGTTTTAAATAATTTAAGCCAGAAACTTAAGGACCGGTCACGGACAGTATGTTTGTTATTGAAAGCCTTTTTAAGCACTTACAAATTCTTCATTCTAAAAGCTTGTAAATCTTCCATTCGTGACTCTCTCTATATAGAATGGGTAAGAGGAATTCTCATTTTCGCATAAAAACCTATTCCATTTTAAATTGAATTTGGACTCCAACCATTCCTTTTCGCTACACTTGTATACCGCATAATTGTAAAGGGGATCGCACGCCTTTGAAAATATCTCGTGAATTCCTCGAGAATCCATTCTGGCGCGTGTGAACGTATTTACCGAGGAATCCACCGAAAATGTATAGAACGTTGTCAAAGTGGTGGCTGAAATTCTAAACATACCTTTTTAGATTGTTCGTTTGACGAACGCTAATGGTGATGTTGTGTTCTACAATTTCAACTTTATTATAATAGAAGATATTTTGCTATTCAGAGTCATATGTATAAGCTTGTTTTGAAAGTAAATTATAGGTTATATTGATATTATTCATTATTAAACCTATATCGAAGGTGTATACAAATATCAGCGAAAAGGCCATTTAGACTTTAGAACGTTATTTAAACTCTATAGAAACCTTATGAATAAAAATTTTTAGACTTCTTTTAACGATCTAATAAAGTTTCGAAAACTCATAATTAATAAAAACATTTGTGTTTTATATCTACTATTTTTGAAAACAAAGAAATAGAAACGTTGTTGTTTTCTCGTACTATAGTGTAAATATATAAATGTATGGTAATTTCGTTTAGGTAGGCACTAGTACATTATTCTTTCAACAGAACCGGAAAAGTTTATCTGTCGGTCGCATATTTTTATTGTATCGTCTGTCTAGAATACTATAACCACATATTTTCCTGTTGGTATCGCAAATCGCGGTTAAGAGATTCACCAAGTGGCACCGTTCTCCGAGAATTATTTCTACTAATATATAAATCTACAGTGGTTTTTATGGATGTTCCGTTATAACTACTGAACCATGCATCTGATTGACTTGAAACTTGGTATCCATGTAGAAAATACATGTACTTAATGGATAGGCTAATTATTTACATGAGTGTTGGACTTCCTACATCAGTTGCGGGGGCGTTAATGATGAGAATTTTTGTGGGGGTGAGAAATAATCATGTTAATTTTAAATGCCCAGCGAAGCGGACGGGTTCAGCTAGTAATATTATAAGAGCGATCCCCAGCCGGCGGAAAGTGGGACAGCTGTTGTGCTCTGCAACTGAAACTTCAACGTCATATCATGGCGTTGTTTGTGGAACATGAGTTCAATACCAAATTAATACAAGGTTTTTTTTATTGAAGGATTACTGGTAGCCCGAAGGCCTTTCCAGTTTCACCAGGACAGGTGGGCGAGCACTCAGCCAGGGGGGTAATACAAGGTCTACCCTGCTACAAGAGTTAAAACAAATTCTTGACAACAAAAGTCGTAAACGTAAAATCTTGTAATAAAAATACTTTTATTTGCATTAAGAATCGCTGAGACAGAAAATCAATATTAAACAGGACGAGGAGTGCGTTTCATGACGTTTTCCGACCCGACCATAAACGAGCCAATAAAACCCTAGTCACCCAATTGCTTAGCTTTCTTTAGCCCATCAGGATCGCAAATATAAGGAACGATTGGTATATAAGGATTAAGAGGATCACGCGGCGACTTATCGTCCTCAAAAATAGTTTCTTAATGAAATTAATATGATTATTAAAGAAAGTGTCTCCAGCAGTTGTCAGCATGTTAAATGCTTATTCAGAGTCAAAATAAACTCTTCTTGTATTTAAGTACGCTTCTTTAGTTAATTACCCCATTCTACTACATATTAAAATTTTATTACTTTTCTTTAATATGCAGGCACACCGGATTCTACTGTTTCATTACAGGTATTGACGTATTACCTATCGTTCTGGCAAGTTGTATAATGGATTATCCGGTTTCTGTGAACTGAACGTACGTGGTAAACTGCGTAAACTCGTATTCGATACGACGTTACGTTAAAATCGATTATCGTGAACAATGGTTCATCGTTGTTCACACGACAAACGCTATTGTTTTAATCGTTTACATCATTCACCGGGTTGACATCATATACTCTTTGCGTCTGTTGTTATGTGAACTTTGTTTTAAAATTGGAATTGAAAAAAATCTGAACTTTTGGAATTCCAAATGGAATTTCAACTCGACGAATAACGAATAGTCTTTCAAAATGGGTGAATATTCCGTGTATTTTTATGACTTTATGGTCCATCTAATCACTTTCGCTCATGGACACGGGAAATGGGAGTACCCTTTATTTTTTTAAATTACTTTAAAATCAGACATGTTTTGGTTTAGACTGTTCAACATATCGCAAATACGGTGCGATAAGGTCACTTATGCAAATTATGTAATTTTTCAGGAGAAACATTGGAAAATTCAACATCTTATTATATACTAGCTGACTCGGCAGACTTCGTATTGCCTCAATCGATAAATAAAAGACCTAAACTTTTCTATAAAATAAACTTAAAACAAACAAAAGGGGGACATATCAAAGGAAAAACAAAATTGTTATTTTTATTTAATTCCGAGCATTTTCATATTTTTCTATTTTTTAAACCTTTAGCCAAATCGGTCCAACCGTTCTCGAGACTAACGAACAGCAATTCATTTTTATATATATAGATAGTTCTTACATAGTTCTGCTAGACTAAATAAATAAAAACGATAATATTTAAACTACAACTTTAAACTTCATCAGTAAAAGCAAACATCTTGCTGATAACTATTAAAAAATGTATTTTCTCATGCTCAGTTCAGTTTTAGCATAAATAAGTGACTTTATAGCACCGCATGTGCCATATTAGGAACGGGAATCGAACCCCTCATAAATTAAGCCATAGCACGATTGATTGATTGGTTGATCTATTTTCAGGGAATACAGAAATCAGGTTAGTTTAGCGCAGCTTTGGAACAAAGATCGGTTACCAATACGAAGTAGACAAGTACAAAAATAAAATTATACATTCCAAATATTGGACCCACTGAGTTTCTCGCGAGATCTTCTCAATTGGCTGTGATCCCGATCCTGTGATTTGTGTGATCCGTAGATTTCGCGAAGCACTGCTCTTGCTAGGGCTAGTGTTAGCAAATTCTCTCAGGTTGAGCCTGTGAGTTCACCTACCAGTCCGGGCGCAACTAGAATAGCCTTCTAGGCTACCAGCGTTCTGAATTCGTTAGATGCTCCGTATAAAAGCTATGTTATAACAAAATAACAAATGATATCTTCAAATACGCTTTAAGTTTCAACGAGTTTTTAATAATAAAATCCATTTATAAATAAACTTTGATTAAAGCGTACGTGATGTGAAACGAAACGAACGAAATATAAAAGCGCCACATGCGATAATGTTTATAGTTTTAAAATGTTTATTGTGTTTTTTTTTACAAATTAATAGATCGTAAAAAATTTGTAGCAAACTTATGGTAAGCGTGAATTAATTTATTGAAACACCTTTTTTTTTTTTCTTTTACGCGCACGTCATACGAATCTTGCGTGATCTGAAGTAAAATACAAGATATTTCATTCTGTAGGGATATAATTTAATATTATCTGTCAGTGCCAGTACAAGTTTTTGTTTTTTCACGCGACCTTTATAAAGTAATGAGCACGTCTTATTTTAGTTTCAGGGTTCTAGTACTCTTTTTTTTTATTGCTTAGATGCGTGGACGAGCTCACAGCCCACCTGGTGTTAAGTGGTTACTGGAGCCCATTTACAACGTAAATGCGCCACGCACCTTGAGATATAAGTTCTAAGGTCTCAGTAAAGTTACAGCGGCTGCCCCACACTTCAAACCGAAACGCATTACTGCTTCACGGCTGAAATAGACAGGGAGGTGGTACCTACCCGCGCGGACTCACAAGAGGTCCTACCACCAGTAGTACATATTTTAGGCCCTTATTTTTACATGAACGTGCAATAACCAAACAAACTGAAAACAAAATATTTTTGTCGTGGAAATGACAGAAAATAGCATCCCACCATTGCATGGACTATCTCGCTCTCTTTCAGTTTTTTTAGTATAATAAAATAGCACCATAGAACTTAAATAGTACGACCGATCTTAAATGAAATTTGTGAAATTTACTACGATGCCTATTTAAGTAGAAGAAACCGAGAATGTAACGACGAGAGTTGGCTTCGATTCAAAGCTGAACTATTCAACTAGAACCGGTTTATGTCCAGACGTTATCAGAGTAGAAATGTTTGGACGAAAGCAAATGTTTGTTTTTATATTGTTTACACGTAAAATAACAATACCGCAATGTGTTCGATTTCGTTTTTAAATATCACAATAGCTTTGTTTATATTGTAAACTGCGATTAATATAATTTATATAACAGACTTTTAAATATTACACGTAACAAAAACGAAAATGTGTTTTCAGAATCAACAAACTCAAATTTGCTTACAATTAGCAATTTAACATAAACCAACAATATTTAAACCATATTGTTTGTTAAAACGTAATGAAACTTATTCCTGTCCTGCACATCCCGAGCGTTTTTAAATCATTCACACGAGGTTTGCATAGTCTCTAATATATATCCTTGGTTGATGTTCATGTATGACAGTAAATATTTACGATAGGGACACCTACGTCCTCTGCCTTCGATAAATAACGAACAAGTATA